ACAAATCCATCTTTTAAAACTTAATTAAAAGTGAATCATGGGAGCACCTGGGTGGCTCAGGGGTTGAGCATCTGCCTTCAGCTCAGGCTGTGACCCCGGGGTCCTGGGATCGAGTCCTGCATCGGGCTCTCTGCATGGAGCCTGCTTCTCCCTCCACCTGCGTCTCTGCCCCTCTCTGTGTCTCTCATGAATAAATACATAAAATCTTTTAAAAAAGTGAATCATGGGATTAAATATGAATACTGAGAGTATGAATGTCAAAAAAATAGTCAAGCAATCCGGCATTCAGGTGGTCAGTTAGGACAATGGAACACACTGAAAGTGACCGTCCCTCTTGTCTTTCCCTAGTGTGACAGTGTAAGCAGGGCTGTGGTCACCCCGGTGTCCCCGTCCCCCCGGAGAACGCCCGGGTCACGAGGTGGGGGCAGTGCACCCTGCGCAGATGAGGGAACTGTCCCCCGCTCAGGAGCCCTGAACAAAGCGGAGGCCTCGGCTGCGGGGAGGATGGGGCAAGAGGCTACAAGTGGAGACAAAGTGGACGAAAGGAATTCAGCCGAGGACCTCAATAAGGTGTCAGCGGAGGCGACTGGGAAGTGTCAGCGCCAAGATCCTGCACAAAGACGCCTGGAGCTGCAGATGGGGGCCAGGCGGGGGCCAGGTGGGGGCGCACCTGCTGGGGGGGGGCGGCGGGCAGGTCCTCTGAGGGCCCTAGCGGGAAGGAGCCGGGAAGGAGCCCCAAGGCCCGCCAGCCGCGCCCCTGTAAGTGCCCACGGCCCGGCCTCAAAGACCACGCGCGGGACGGTTGGGTCCTCCAGACAGGCAGGGTTCCCCAGAGGACACCAGGGGCTTAATCCGCAGAAGAAGGGAAGCAAAGAGACGAACTAGATGTCCTCGAAATAAAAAATTCTGTTCTACGAAAGACCCTGTTGTGAGAATGACGAGATGAACTGTAGGTCGAGGGGGGACATCGGCGAGTTGCACATCTGGTAGAGAGCTCGGATCTAGAACCTGCGAAGGACTCTCAGGACGCACCGGTGAGAGGCAAGGGCATCGGGCACGAGCCAGGCCGGACCTCCGCAGCGCAGGTCCAGAGGTGGCAAGTCAACACTTGCAAGGGTCTTCGCTATCATGAGGAGCCGGGCTGCGTGTCCCGTGTCCCGTGGGCCGAGGCCTGGCACCTGCAGAGCGCGGCCGCCCTGGTGGCAGACAGCTCGCGGCTTCCTGCGCCCCTGGGCCAGGGCTGCGATCTCACGCGGCGGCCTCACTCTTGGGCGTTTATCCTGGAGAAGTGAAAAACTGATTTGCACACAAAACCTGTCCACGGCACCTCCACCCGCGTCAGCCCGAACCAGAAACAGGCCGCAGGCCCCTCTGCAGGCCACCGCTGCTCGTCCGGCCGGGCGGCCCTGCGGGGCTACTGCCTGGCCCCCAGGAACGCTCCACGGATGTTGGCAATTTGGGGGAAGCTGCAGGAAATCCGGCTCAATAAAAGAAGCCAGTCTCCAAAGGCCGCACGCTGTCTGGCTCTATTATCACCAAGGCGTCTGTGACACGGAGGTGACAGCGGTTGGCAGGGCAGGGGCCCTGCGAGGGAAGCAGGTGCAGCCGCCGGGAAGGAGCGCGGCCCGCGCCCGTGGGCACCGACTGGCCGGGACCCCCGGCCGTGCGAGCCACGGGGAGCCCGGAGGCGACTGGCACAGGTGCTGCCCGGGTGTGGGTGCCCCGCGGTGGCCTGCGAGGGTGCGGGAGGAGCGGCCGTGAGCGCGGAGCCCCAGCAGCTCCTGCAACGCGCCCCCATCTCGGGCCGGTGCTCGGGCCTTGGCTCCCCGCGAGCAGGACACGGCTCCCAGGAGCCCAGGGGCCTGCGCAGATGCCAGGCCGCGCTCACTCTTCCCGGCGACAGCTTTCCGGCTGTTCTCCCGGGGAAGGTGCCCGGGAGGGGAACTGCCGGATCATATGGTATTTCTATTTTTGATTTTTTTTTTTTTTTGAGGAACCTCCGTGCTGTTTTCCACGGCAGCTGTATCAGTTTACATTCCCACCGAGAGCGTCCGAGAATTCCTTTTCCTCTACATCTTCATCAATACTTGTTGGGTTGTTTTGTTTTGTTTTGTTTTTTTAAACCGTCTCTCACGAGAGACATAGAGAGAGAGAGAGGCAGAGACACAGGCAGAGGGAGGAGCAGGCTCCACGCAGGGAGCCCGACGTGGGACTCGAACCCGGGTCTCCAGGATCACGCCCTGGGCTGAAGGCGGTGCTGAGCCCCCCAGGCTGCCCCTGGATCCTCCCATTTTTAATCACATTTTTATCTTTCTGTGTGTATTGAGTTGTGTAATTTTTTTTTTTTATTTCGATACTAGCCCCTGACTGGGTATCTTATTTGCAAATTTCTTCTCCGGTCCAGTCAGCTGCATTTTCACCTCGTTGAGGGTTTCCTCCGCTGTGCAAAACCCTTTTATTTAGGTGTCGTCTCAATAGTTTACTTCTGCCTTTGTTTCCCTTGCCTTAGGAGACACATCCAGAAAAATGTTGCTATGGCCAATATCAATAAAGAAATTGCTGCCTATGTTTTCTTCTAGTAGTTTCATGCTTTCAGGTCTCACATTTAGGTCTTTAATCCACTCTGAGTTTATTCCTGTACGTGGTGTAAGAACATGGTCCGGTTTCATTCTTTTACATGCAGCCGTCCAGTTTTCCCAGCGCCAGTTGTCGAAGAGACTTTTCCCACTGCGTATCCTTGCCTCCTTTGTCCTAACTGACCATATAATTGTGGGTTTATTTCTGGGCTTTCTGTTCTGTTCTATTGGGCTATTGGTCTATTTCTGTGCTAGCACCACACTGTTTTGATTACTGCAGCTATTTAGTATATCTTGAAATCCGGAATTGTGATACCTCCAGCTTTGTTCTTCTTTCTCAAGTTTGCTTTGGCTACTCAGGGTCTTTTGTAGTTCGATACAAATTTTAGGATCATTTGCTCTAAGTTATGTGGAAAATGCTGTTGGTATTTTGATAGGGTATGCGCTGAATCTGCATGATTTTTGGCATAATTGTAAATAGATTCTTTTCTCAATTTCTTATTCTGTTAGTTTGTTTTTAGCATATACAAACACTGTCAATTCTGTGTATTAACTTTGCATCCTGCAACTTTACAGAGTTCATTTATTACTTCTAATAGTATTTAGTTAGAGTCTTTAGGATTTTCAATGTATAGTATCTATCACATCATCTGCAAATAGTGAGTTTAATTCCTTCCTTACTCATTTGAGCACCTTTTATTTCTTTCTCTTATCTGATTGCTATGGCTGGATGGAGTCAGATTCTTTTTTTTTTATTTTTAAAAGATTTTATTTATTTATTCATGAGAGACACACACAGAGAGAGAAAGAAAGAGAGAGAGAAAGAGAGAGAGAGAGAGAGGCAGAGACACAGGCAGAGGGAGAAGCAGGCTCCACGCAGGGAGCCCGAGGTGGGATTGGATCCCGGGTCTCCAGGATCACGCCCTGGGCCAAAGGCAGGTGCTAGATTGCTGAGCCACCCAGGGATCCCCCGCGTGCTTTTTCTTATAGTCAATCTCACTCCGCAGCCCGGGTCCTGCTTTCTGCCACTATAATAATTTCTGACAAATCAAATAATGCATAGTACAGTGATGTGGGGCCTGGTGCCCGGGGCCGTGGAGCCGTGGGTCCCGCCGAGCGGAGCGCATGGGCAGGGCCAGCAGGTGCGTGTCCCCCACACCCCCCTGCCCCCCAGCGGGGTGCACAGTCTCCGGCTCCCTCCACCAGGGACCCGTGGCCACAGAGAGCATGGAGTCCGCAGGGGTCCCCCCCATCCCGCGGTATATTCCCCGGAGGCGGAGGGGGTGAAGTCTGCAGGCCGCAGGCACCGAGAACCAAGACGGAGGGAGGGCAGCGTCCTGGTGGGACTAGGAACAGACCTACGGCCTTGTCACCTGGACTGCGGACAGACCTACGGCCTTGTCACCTGGACTGGGGACAGACCTACGGCCTTGTCACCTGGACTGCGGACAGACCTACGGCCTTGTCACCTGGACTGGGGACACACTTGCAGCCGTCACCTGAACACACGGGCACTCTTGTCCTGACTGGGGAAGGCGGTGCGGCCCGCGGGTGGGGTTGGAGGAAGAGGACGGCGGGCAGGTGGGGAAGGCTGAGCCCACGCCGCCCCCCAAACTTGAGGCTCCCGCCCCAGGGTCCCCAGCACCCGCGGAGGGCCCTGCTCCCGCGACCCTCCCCCTCCTCCCCTCCCCTCCCGCCCTCCCCTCTCCCTTCCCCTCCTCTCCCTCCCCCTCCCGCGGCCCTCCCCCTCCTCTCCCTCCCCCTCCCGCGGCCCTCCCCCTCCCCGCGGGCCCTCCCCCTCCTCTCCCTTCCCCTTCTCTCCCTCCCCCTCCCACGGCCCCTCCCCCCTCTCACCTTCCCCCTCCCGCGGCCCTCCCCCTCCTCTCCCTCCCCCTCCTCTCCCTCCCCCTCCCGCGGCCTCCCCTCTCCCTCCTCCCCTCCCCCTCCGCGGCCCTCCCCCTCCTCCCTTCCCCTCCCGCGGCCCTCCCCCTCCTCTCCCTCCCCCTCCCGCGGCCCTCCCCCTCTCCCTTCCCCTCTCCCCCCCCTCCCGCGGCCCCTCCCCCCTCTCCCTCCTCCTCCCGCGGCCCTCCCCCTCCTCCCTCCTCCCCTCCCCCTCCCCCCTCCCTCCTCCCTCCCCTCCCGCGGCCCTCCCCCTCCTCTCCCTCCCCCTCCCGCGGCCCTCCCCCTCCTCTCCCTCCTCCTCCCGCGGCCCTCCCCCTCCTCTCCCTCCCCCTCCTCCCCTCCCTCGTCCCCTCCCCCTCCCCTCCTCCCGGGCGGGGCGGGCTCCGGCCCTTTAAGGCGGGCGGGGCGCGGCCCAGGTGCGGGGCGGGCGCGGGGCGGATCCGCTGTGCGCCGCCGCCCGGAGCCGGATTTGCGCGCGCGGCGCCGGCGGGGCGGGAGGGGGCGGGAGGGGGCGGGCGGGGCGGCGCGGCGGAGCCTCCCGGGCCTCGGACGCTCCTGCTCGGCCTCCGCCCGCGCCTCCCGCCGCCGCCACTTCCGGCCGCGCACCTGGGCCGCGCACCTGGGCCGCGCACCTGCCTCCCGGCGCCCGGCGGCAGCATGAAGGACCGGCTGGAGCAGCTCAAGGCCGTGAGTGCCCCGCGCGGGGCCCGGAGCCCGGGATGCCCCCGCCGCCCCCCCCGCCCCCCCCCCCGCCCGGGTCAGGTGCCGGTGACTCAGCCCGGGCCGCGACTGCCCGGAGGCCCGCGCCCCGCCCCGCCCCGCCCCCGGCCGCTGGGTCCGGCTCCCCGCGGGGTCGGGGTCGCGCCCACCTGCCCACCTGCCCACCTGCCCACCTGCCCACCTGCTCACCCGCCCGCCGCGGCCCGGGAGCGCCTCCTCCCCCCCACGGGGCTACCCTCCCCCCGCCCGGCAGCTCGGGCCGGACTCCCCGCGGCGTCAGGGGTCACGCCCACCTGCCCACCTGCCCGCCCGGGCCCGGGAGCGCCTACTTCCCTCCCCCTCCACCCGCGGGGGTCGGGGGTCGCGCCCACCTGCCCTCCCGGGCCCGGGAGCGCCTCCCTCTCCCCCTCCCCCTCCCCCTCCCCGCTGCCCCTCCCCCAGCGGCTCCGGGGCCGGACTCCCTGCGGGGTCGGGGGTCGCGCCCACCTGCACCTGCCCGCGGGCCAGGAGCGCCTCTCCCCTCCCTCGCCCCCTCCCCCTCCCCCCCCGCTGCCCCTCCCCCAGGGGCCGCCGAGCTGCCGGTGACCTCCGAGCCCAGAGCCGGTCACGCGCTGGGATGGGCCCGGCCCGCCGCCGAGTCTGTCATCAGGAACGTCTCCCTCGTCCGGGGAGGCGGGGGGGAGGGGGGGTTGTCCGCAGGGGGGATGCGCAGGGGGTCCGCAGGGGAACCCGCAGGAGGATGCGCAGGGGGACCCGCAGGGGGGATGCGCAGGGGGACGCCCCGGCCGAGGGCGCCGGCCCTGAAGGCTCAGGCGGCTCAGCCTCTGGGGCGACCGTTTCCTTATCTTGTGGGGACGATCGTGCCCTAGAGATCTGCTGTGAGACCGAGTGACATAATGGGACGGGCGGGAGAATCGTTGAACCCTGGGTTCTGAGGCCCGACCCGCGCAGCCAGTAATTAGGAGAGCACCGTGCGGGGCAGGCCCAGCCTGAGCCCCGGGGACCCCGTGCCTTTCCCGGGTACAAAGCCGCCCTCCCCTTGGGACCTCGTGGGAAGCACAGGCCCAGCCCGGCTGGACCTCCCCAGGGCTGCACCCAGGAGCCACCCCTGCACCCCTGAGCCCAAGTCCCAGCCCCTGTGAGGTGTGTGGCTCTGAGCCCTGGAAGCCTCGGCACCTCCGGGTCTCTGTGGGGCGCAGGGCACGGGCAGGATTGACGGCGGCACACTCAGGGCTGTGCAGCTCCGGAAAAACGCAGGCCTCGCGCGTGTGAGGGACAAGGGTCGACTGGGAGCCTGTGGGGTGAGGCCGTCGGGCCCCTCTCGCGCTGTGGGCCCGGGCCTGGGTCTTCAGAGGAGGTGGGGTGCAGGGGCGAGGCAGAGGCCGTGGCCCAGCTGCAGGGAGTGGGGGGCCTCCCTGCGCCCACTCACTCTTCCCCGCCGGAGCCTCTCACGTCCTGGTCACCGGCAGGCGGGTGTCACTGCCCCCACCCAGTGCAAGGGGCAGCGGGAGCCCAGAGGGAGCCCAGCGGGCAGGAGGGCTGCAGCAGCTCGCAGGGCGGGCTCCACGCGGCCCACCCCGACAACGCTCCCGGGGGGCCCGACGGGCAGAGGGCGAAGCTCTCCCTCCCTCCCTCCATGGAGCAGCCACGCTGGGTGGAGGCTCGGGGACACACTCCCTGGTCCGTATCCAGAGCGTCAGCCCACAGCCCTTCTCAGGCCCACTGGCGACAAGGGGTCAAGAGGGTTGACTCCAGAGGTCCTGGCCCAGGCCACGCGAGTCCCGGTGCATCCCCGCACCTTGTTGTTACCTTCCGGGTTAAGGAGCGGCACCTCGGGGGAGGCGCACACCTGACAGTGCCCCGGTGGGTGGGTGTGGGGGGGGGGGCCCGGGAGTGCCGGGCCGCGGGGGTCCTGGCTGTCCCCTAGCGGGAGAGCTGAGTTCCCTGTCGTCCTCGGACTCTCCGCCTCTCTGTTCCTCTTTTGTAAGACAAGAAGGCTCCGTCACCCCAGCAGCCCCTCTGGCCTCCGCCCACAAAGCCTGTGGCTCGGCTTGGCGTGGGCCTGGGTCTGTCGCCCACCCCGCGGCCCAGCCTGCGCGGCGAGGGAGGCCTTCACGCAGGCCCGTCTCATCCCTTCCAGCAGCGGAGGCCGCTGGTTCACGGGACACCCGGCTCCCCGCGCGCGGTGGTGACCGCCTCCGGGTGACCCGAGGGCCGCGTGTGCCGACAGATGGGCTTCGCCCCGAACGTGCGAGGGCCCCAGGTCCACGGGCAGACGTAGGGACTCTGCAGAGGCGTCCTCGGTAGTCAGAGCTGCCCGGGCCGCGCGGCCGCGGGGGCTGTGGGCCTCGAGCCTGGGGGGGCGCTGGGCGCCGTTTGAGGGCGGGGGGCACGTGGCAGGACTTGAGGCCCTGCTCACCCCACGACCTGTGAGCCCGTGCCGGGCGCCGCGAGGCTCTGGGGCCGGGACCTGCGTCTCAGGGTCGCAGCCGTAAAGTGGGTCATGTCCGTCCCCGTGGGCCACGGTGCGAGCTCAGTGAGGTGACCCGAGATAATCACCCGGCCTGGACACGTGAGTCCCCCGCGTGAGCCGCCGGCCACCAGCCCTGCCGCCTCTGTTGCCCTGTGATCCTGGGGCTCAGCCGCAGCCCGAGCCCAGGGACGGGGACACGGCCCACACCAGCCCAGGTCGCGGGGGCTCGTGCGATGGCTCCCCAGTTCATGCGCTTCCTGTCCGGGGCCACTTGCCCTTCCTGAGCCCTGTGGGGGACACCGGCCGGGGCGGGGGGGGGGGGGTCCAGGGTTCTTGGGTTACAGTCGGACGGGGAGATGTGCAGGACGCAGAGCGGGAGCCTAGCATCTCGCGGTGGAGGCTGCGCGGGGACACCCGTGGGAGACCCGTGGGAGACCTGCATGACCTAGCCCCCTGCTGGGTGCCGCGCTCCCCGCGCCCATGGGGGCCGCCAGGAGCCGGGAGGGCTCCTCCTCAGCCTCGCTGGCCTCTGCCCGCTGGACGTGCATGGGCCGCAGTTAGGGTACAGGGTCCCCGCGTGGAGCAAGGGGTCGCGGCTGCAGAAGGCCCCGGCCGGAGGCGGGCGGCGGCAGCAGAGAGGCCGGCAGCGGAGGGAGTCGGGGCGAGGACTCAGGGCCTGCAGCTGGCGTGGGGGGGACCGCAGGTCCCTCGGGGACACCCGCCTCCCGGCCCGGCCGTAGCGACAAGTGGTGCGGACCCCGGGGTCTCCGAGGCAGACCGGCTCGTTGTCGTCTCCCATCTCGCGTGTGCATCCCGGAGGGCTCCTCGGTGTCCTGCTGCGTGTCTGGGTGTCTGTGGGAGCGGCGCCCGCTGATGAGGGCCGCAGGGTACCCCTGAAACACGGCGCTGCACTTCCCCATGTTCTTAGTAATTGTTTATTTTTTTAAAGATTTTATTTATTCCTGAGAGACCCAGAGAGAGAGGCAGAGACCCCGGCTGAGGGAGGAGCAGGCTCCCCGCGGGGACCCCGACTCAGGACTGGATCCGGGACCCCGGGCCACGCCCTGGGCCGCTCCACCCCGGGCCCCGGCGCCCCTGTGCTTCCCCTTTGAAGCTTGGCGCCACGGGGCCGCAGGTGCTTGGGTCACGACCGCACGTCCACATCCTGGTTTGAGAAGCTCTTGGCTGAGATGCAGCCTGAGAACTTCTCCTTTGAGAGTGTGCAGGGGGGTGGGGGGCGAGATGGGGGGGCGCCCCCCTGCAGCAGCCGGAGGCCACGGGGAGCGAGCGGGGATTACGGGCTCATCTGCAGACGCCAGGAGGGAGAGCGCTGCGACCAGACCAGAGAGGGGATTAGGGTTATTTTTGTTCCTGTATGTGGGGGGGGACGCCTGCTGGGGTCACGCTGCCGTCTGCCCTCCCCCTCCCGCGTCCTCCCGCCCGTCCTCCACGCCCGCCGCCTCCGGAGCTGCTGTCCACGTGCGCCCCTCCCCGTGGGGCCGCTGGGGTTTCCGTCACCCCGTGACTGGGACCCTGTCCCCCGATCCTGTGGTCTTTGGGCGATGCTCGGGGCGCCGGCCGGCCGCTGTCTGGAGCCCACGACTCTGGATCTCAGGGCCGTGAGTTCGAGCCTCACGCTGGGTGTGGAGATGACTTAAAAGTAGAATCTTAAAAAAAAAAAAAAACAAAACCACCACCACCACCCAGCTAGACCGTCTTCCTGGTCCTGGCCGTCGCATCGGCTGCGTGAGAAGGCCCACGTGCTCCGGGTGTGGCCAGCGCCCCTTGGTGCAGGGCAGAGGGCACCTCCCCGTGGCCGCCCCGTGGGCATCCCGTGGGCATCCCGTGGGCATCCCGTGCAAGGTCCCGGCCAGGCCCTCGTGCGCCCGCGGCCTCGTCCCGCAGCCCCGGGGGTGAGGCGCGGCGTGTTCCGGAGCCGTGCCCCGGGCTCCCTCCAGGCCGACGCGTCCCTTCTCCCTGAGCCTTCCTGCAGCCCTGGCTCGTCCCGAGGAGCAGGCCCGGGGAGCGACCCCAGCCCGGGACGAAACTGCGGTTCTTGCGGCCAAACGGGCGGGATGCGGGATCTTTTCAGACACGGCAGAAGGTCAGAAAACACTGGCCCGGGCCGAAGACGTGGGGAGAACGTGGGACTGCGCAGAAGGCGAAGTCCCGTGGTCACGGGCCCTGCTGATGGCGTCATAAAACTACCAACACCAGAAAAAAAAAAAAAAAACAAACCTACCAAGACCAGAATTCGGTGATTTCCACCCTGGGCTCGCCCGCTTTGGGAATTTTTTCTTTTCTTTCTTTCTTTCTTGGGCTCACCCGCTTTGGAAATTTTTTCTTTTCTTTCTTTTTTCTTTTCTTTTCTTTCTTCTTTTTTTCTTTGTTCTTCTTCTTTCTTTCTTTCTTTCTTTCTTTCTCATTCATCATTCATTCATTCATTCATTCATTCATTCATTCATTCATTGATGTTATTTATTCATGAGAGACCCAGAGAGAGGCAGAGACCCAGGCAGAGGGAGAGAAACAGGCTCCATGCAGGGAGCCCAGATGCAGGACTCGATCTCGGGACCCCGGGGTCACGCCCTGGGCTGAAGGCGGCGCTAAATCGCTGAGCCCCCCGGCCCCTGCCCCCCCGACTTTGGAAATTTGAAACCTCTTTCTAAATAATTGTCAGGTTAAGAGAGAAACCCAAAAAGGGGATGGCAGAATATTTAGGATGATAATAAGAGTAAATCTCCGAGTTTGCCGACGGCGGCAGAAGCCCCCTGCAGAGGCAGCCTTACTCAAGTACACATTCCGGAAAAATGTCTTCATTCAAATTAATGCGCTCCGTTGCGGTGTACTGTGGGGCACCTGCCGTCCCCACGAGGACCGCCCCGTGGCCCCCTCCCAGCCCTACGGAGGGGGGGCCTGTGTATCGGGGAAACCGCTGCCCCCAGGGGGGTCGTGAGGAGGGAGGCGTCCATCTCCCAGGAGGCCGGCTTGGCCTCGCAGGTGCGTGTGGGCCTGTGTGTGCGTGCGTCGGCGTGTGCGCACGGCCCTCGAGAGCAGCGGCGGTGCTAGTGCCGGGGGTGCACAGGCCCCTGCTCGGCAGGGACACGGGAGCGTCCCGCGCCGTCCCGAGTGAGTTCCCAGGAGCCACCCTGGTGCGAGGAGGCCTGTGCACTCACTCCCACGGGCAGCACTGCCCGGACAGGACGCGGCGCACCAGCCTGGGCCCTGCCTGTGCCCCGAGGGCGCGGGTGTTAAGGGGTCGCGGCCAGTCAAGGAGCCGCCCGCCCGCTGAGTGTGTCCCTCACCCCGATGCGTCCCCAGCGCCCCACGGCCCACAGCCCCTGCCCTCCGAGGCCTGGCACGCGTGGCCGGGACGGGAATGGTGACTCCGGGGGCCTCGGCTCCCAAGTGTCGCTGCTGCGACGTGGGTGGTCCTTGCGGCAGCCCCATCCTCGAGCTGACCCGCCGCCGCCTTTTGTTTCCTCTGCGGTTTGTCAGCGAAGCACAGCGAGGGTGCAGCGTCGGGTAGGGATCCTGTGCGGCCTGTGTCCCCCGGGCACACCTGCCTCCCCGGGCACACCTGCCTCCCCGGGGCACACCTGCCTCCCCAGGCACACCTGCCTCCCCGGGCACACCTGCCTTCCCCGGGCACACCTGCTCCTCCCCAGGGCACACCTGCCTTCCCCGGGCACACCTGCCTCCCCGGGCACACCTGCCTCCCCGGGGCACACCTGCCTCCCCAGGCACACCTGCCTCCCCAGGCACACCTGCCTCCCCGGGCACACCTGCCTCCCCGGGGCACACCTGCCTCCCCGGGGCACACCTGCCTCCCCGGGCACACCTGCCTCCCCAGGGCACACCTGCCTCCCCGGGCACACCTGCCTCCCCGGGCACACCTGCCTCCCCGGGCACACCTGCCTCCCCGGGCACACCTGCCTCCCCGGGGCACACCTGCCTCCCCGGGGCACACCTGCCTTCCCCAGGGCACACCTGCCTCCCCAGGCACACCTGCCTCCCCGGGCACACCTGCCTCCCCGGGCACACCTGCCTCCCCGGGCACACCTGCCTCCCCGGGCACACCTGCCTCCCCGGGGCACACCTGCCTCCCCGGGCACACCTGCCTCCCCGGGCACCTGCCTCCCCGGGGCACACCTGCCTCCCCGGGCACACCTGCCTCCCCGGGCACACCTGCCTTCCCCGGGCACACCTGCCTTCCCCGGGCACACCTGCCTTCCCCGGGCACACCTGCCTTCCCCGGGCTGCCCAGTCTAGGTGCTGGCCGGGTGCGGCCGCAGGGAGCCACAGCCTCAAGTGCCGCTGGCCGGCTGCTCACTTCCTCCTTCCTTCGCTGCTCTTTCGACAAGGGGACTTTCCCTCAGAGGAACTGTCACATCCAGCGCCCGGCGTCCAGCAGAGAACAGGGAAGCCGCGGGACTGAAAGGGGCCCTTGCACCCGCCTTGGTCCCAGGGCTTCGGGGCTCCCGAGGCACGGCCCAGGGTCCTGGGGAAGGCCTCGCCCCACTTCGGGGACCGCCCCCCATCCCCTAGGCTCAGGAAGGCGCCCCTGTCCTGGCGCCCAGGGAGGCCGCTGGGGGGTGGTGCCCTGGGACACAGCCCCGGCTGGCCCGGCCCCAGGAAACAGGCAGGGGCACAGTGACACCCGGGCAAGCAGCGGCGTGTGGGGCCACTTCCCTGGGCGGGAGGTTTCATCGAGGAAGCCAGTGGAGGGGACCCGACGTTGGCAGTGCGGGTGGTGCAGACACAGCTCGGGCCTGCGCGTCCCCACCGTGCGGGACGTCACCCCACTGTCCCCACGGGCCTGCGGGGCAGCTTCGGCAGGAGGGTGGGCGACGCCGGGGGCTCTGGCTCCCTCGGGGGCCCCGAGGCCGGGGAGGCAGCAGGAGCCTGGGAAGGGAAGGAAGTGGTGCGGCTCGTGGGTCGCAGCTCGGCCACCACACGCCTTGATGCCCCGATAACGATGCTGAAGGCCTTGTCTGGGCTCCCGCCGGGTCGTCCCCACGGCCCGGCCAGGACAGTCTGGCTGTGTCGGGAGGGACCGGGGTCTCCCTGAGACCAGTTAGTCCCCCCGCGGAGAAGCCAGTGGGAGTCCCGCCGCCCAGCCCGTGATGACGGCCTCCCTCGGGTCCCGCCCTGGGACCGATGGGACCGAGCTCGCTGCCTGTCGTTGACGTTACTTTACTTTTTCTGAAGCGGCGCAGCCGTGGGATCAACGCCGCGGGGGAGGCGGGATGGGGCCCTGGAGTCGCGATCTGCGCCGCGTCCGTCTGTCCCTTGGCCGTGCGCCTCTCCAGGTGGGAGACCCTGGGCGCACCCGACCCTCATAGAGAAGGGGCTGCGCCTCCTGGGCCGCGCCGGGCGAGTAGTGCTGGGGCCTTAGAGATCCGATTGGTGCGCCCCAGGCCCGGGGGCGCCCTCGTTCCCACTGGGCAGGCAGGGAAGTCGGGGCTCAGAGACGCAGCCCGGTGGCCCGGTGGCCCGGCGGCGTGGGCCTGCTGATGGAGCCTCGCGGTCCTGGCTCCGCGTGAGGCCTTCCTCGGGCGAGGGGAGCTCACCCCTGGGGACCCCTCGTCTTTGCCGCGAGGTGACGGGGAGCCTGGCGTGCGATCGGCCGGCGCGTAGGTCGCCACCACTTACACGTCAGAGCCTCAGAGCGGAGACCCCTGTTGAGGTGTCCCAGCCCGTGGCGACGACCCGCTGCAGGCCTAGGTGGGGGGTTTCCAGAGACTTCTCTCCTCCGGTTCCCACGATCTCTCCCCGGACGAGGGGCGGGCTGCCCCGCTGGATACTGTCCCACGCGGGGGCGGCCTCGCGGGCGTGCACGATCCTTACACAGAGTCCACGGGCCTCCGATATTTATGTCGTGACGGAGACCTAGTGCCTGGCCCCCTGCCCCAGGGCACAAGTGTGCTCAGCTTCCAGAAACTTCCTCGGCCCATCCAGGAGGGCAGCCCCATCCCACTAACAGCTCGCCTGACCACGGGCCGTCTCGTTGGGGCGCGTCTCTAGGAGGCCTCTGCCCAGGACAGTCCACAAGTACTCGCTGAGCCGCCCCCCCCCCCCCAGGAGGCTGGGCCTTGTTTTCCAGCGAGGCGGGAGAGGTAGGTCCTTCCTGGGGGAAGGTGGGGCCCTGGAGGCTGCCACCGGGCCCGGGCCCGCGCGTGGACGACGGTTATGGAGGGAGCACCTCGCCGCAGCTTCGGGGGCTGCTGGGGAATCGGGGCCGCAGCCTCCGGGGAGGCCGGTTTCCCGTCCTGCTGGCTGCTCGCCTTCCTCCTGCCTGTGCAGCACGTGGTCAGTGCTCCGCAGCCGCGGGCCCCGGGCGACAAGTGATCTTAGTTGGACCCCCGTGGCCTCCAAGCACCCTCAGGCTTTGGGACGTTGAACCCGAGGAGGTGAACAGAGGAAGGTGGTTTCAGGGGCTGCAGCCTTGGCCTCGCTGAGGGTCGCGGGATGGGGCGATGGGGGCGGCACTGGGGGGGCACGTGATGGGATGAGCTCTGGGTGTTACGCTCTACGTTGGCAAATTGAATTTAAATTTAAAAACAGCTGAAATGACCAAAAAAAAAAAAAAAAACACCCATTCTGAATGCGGCTGTTAGCCTGGGCTGCAGAAGTTTCCAGACAGGCCAGGGAACCAGATCCTGGGGGGAGCAATCGGAGCGGACTCCCCAGGTGTCCGCAGAGCGTCAGCTTTCCGAGAGAATTCCCAGGAAGGGCGTCATCTGGGAAGGTGCCAGGCCCTGCTGGCATCCGAGCCTGAGGCGCCAGCCCCGGCGCAGAGGCCCCCGAAGGCGCAGGAGGCAGGGCGGGCACTGGCCGCTGGGCCTGCACCCCGAGACCCAGCCGTGACCCAGCCCCGGGCGAGGGGGCCGGGCGCGGGCAGGGCAGGACGCGCCTCCCCCAGAGCCCTCCTGTGGCTTGGCGGGGCGGGCGGTGCCATCAGGAGCCCGGGTGGGCCGGGCGGGCTGCGCCTCCCTCCTTGTCCAGGAGCAGCGGCCTCAGGCCCTTTGGGTGCAGGTGGTGCTCGGCCGTGCCGGGAGGCCGCTGTGGGCGGGCGGGGCTGCTGGGGGGCTAGTGGAGGTCCCGGCCCTTGGTGGGGCCTGGACCCTAACCCTGCGCTAGGGACCCCGGGCTCTCACCGCATGCGGCCTGCGGGCTCCCTGGGGCGCTCAGGTACAGGCCAGGCCCCGGGGGTCGGCGCCCCCATCAGGAGGCTGTGCAGGGGTGGGGTGCATAGTGTGGGGGGGCCCAGCGTGGGGGGATGGTGTCCAGCATGGGGGGGGCCCACGCACCACGGAGCTGCACTGGGGGTGACGTGCAGGTGCCCGTGGGGACGCCCCCCACTCCCCGTGAGCGCCTGCCCCCATCAGATGCATGGGCCCCCTCCCCCCCCTCCCCGTGAGTGTCCTGGCGCTGAGCCTCACCTCTCTGTGTCTCACAGGAGCAGCTGACGCAGGACGACGATGCGGAGGAGGTGGAGATCGCTGTGGACAACACGGCCTTCATGGATGAGTTCTTCGCCGAGGTGGGTGACCCGCCCGGGGCCTGCGGGGCCTTCTCCCTGGGGGTGCGACAGCGGTTGTGACCCTGGGCTCCTCCAAGGGCAGCACGGGGCCTTGGCGGTGTGGCCGCACCAACGAGCCCCCTGGCGTCCTCTCGGGGAGCTGCTGGGGGTCGGGAGTGCCACCTGTGGGGGGGTCGGGATTGCCACCTGCTGGGGGTCAGCATTGCCACCTGCAGGGGGTCGGGAGTGCCACCTGCGGGGGGTCGGGATTGCCACCTGCGGGGGGTCGGGAGTGCCACCTGCGGGGGGTCGGGATTGCCACCTGCCGGGGGTCAGCATTGCCACCTGCAGGGAGTCGGGATTGCCACCTGCCGGGGGTCAGCATTGCCACCTGCGGGGGGTCGGGAGTGCCACCTGCGGGGGGTCGGGATTGCCACCTGCCGGGGGTCAGCATTGCCACCTGCAGGGGGTCGGGATTGCCACCTGCCGGGGGTCAGCATTGCCACCTGCGGGGGGTCGGGAGTGCCACCTGCGGGGGGTCGGGATTGCCACCTGCCGGGGGTCAGCATTGCCACCTGCAGGGGGTCGGGATTGCCACCTGCCGGGGGTCAGCATTGCCACCTGTGGGGGGTCGGGAGTGCCACCTGCGGGGGGTCGGGATTGCCACCTGCCGGGGGTCAGCATTGCCACCTGCAGGGGGTCGGGATTGCCACCTGCCGGGGGTCAGCATTGCCACCTGTGGGGGGTCGGGAGTGCCACCTGCGGGGGGTCGGGATTGCCACCTGCCGGGGGTCAGCATTGCCACCTGTGGGGGGTCGGGAGTGCCACCTGCGGGGGGTCGGGATTGCCACCTGAGTGAGTCGGTGCAAGGCGCTGCTGTGTAAAGAGCTGCTCCCGGAGGCACGTGCTGCCTGAGGGCACTTTAAGGCTTTGAGACAGAGACAAGGCAAGAGGGAGCAGCAGGGGCCTGGGAGCGGGCGGGGAGGGGGCGCTGACCCCAGAACCCAGACCATGACCTGAGCCGCAGGCACACTCACACGCTCTCCCCCCTCTCTCCTCTGCGCCGTCCTCCCCTCCTGATCTCCCTCTTCCCTGGGGTCCTCCCTGGCCTGGCCGTCTGCCGTCCCAGGGGCAGGTGTCGGCTCCTGGCTGAGCAGGCCTGGAGTGGGTGTGGGCCGAGGCTGGGGTGTGTGTGCCGCGGAGGCCCCCCTGCACCCAGGACTCCTAGTTCTGGGGCCCCACTCTCCAGGATGGGGGGCGGCCCGCGGGCTCGGGCCGTGTCTCCCGTGACCCCAGGCCCCGTCCCTGTGCCTGCAGATCGAGGACACGCGGCTGAACATCGACAAGATCTCGGAGCACGTGGACGAGGCCAAGAAGCTGTACAGCGTCATCCTGTCCGCCCCCATCCCCGAGCCCAGTGAGTGTCGGGGCGCACCTCGCCCGCGGCCCTGCGCCCTCACGCACCCCCTAACGCCGCTCCCCCAGCCCCCCGCCCCCACCTCCTCCCCTGCAGGCCCCTCAGTTCCTCTCCTGTGATTCGGTCTCTCCCGGCCCGGCGCCTGCTCTGCTTTATCTCCTTGAGTGTTCCCGTCCTCCCTCCGAGCCTCAGTTTCCTGGAGTCCACGCAGGGATGAGGTCAGAGGCTCTGGGCTTTCTCTGACGGACTTGGCTCCCCCTGCACTGTGCCCTGCGGGTCCACTCCTTGTTGCAAGTGGCAGGATCCCATCCTGCTGATGGTGGGGCCAGTCCCACGGTGTAGACATGCTGATGGTGGGGCCCATCCTGTGGTGTAGACCCTGATGATGGCAGGCTTCATCCTGCAGTATAGACGTGCTGATGGTGGGGCCTGTCCTGCGGTGTAGACCCTGCTGATGGCAGGGCCCATCCTGCAGTGTATAGATGTACTGATGGTGGGGTGCTGTCCCGTGGTGTAGACCCTGCTGATGGTGGGCCCGTCCCATGGTGTAGACGTGCTGATGGCGGGGCCCATCCTGTGGTGTAGACCCTGCTGATGGTGGGCCCCATCCCGTGGTGTAGACCCTGCTGATGGCGGGCCCCATCCCGTGGTGTAGACCCTGCTGATGGCAGGCCCCATCCTGTGGTGTAGATGTGCTGATGGTGGGCTCCATCCCATGGTGTAGACCCTGCTGATGGCGGGGCCCGTCCTGCGAAGTAGAGCCCCCTTACCCCTTCCTCTGCTGAGGGGCGTCCAGGCTGTGCCCATGGGGTGGCCCTGGGGACCTTGCTGCCCCCCTGGGCGAGCCTGATGGAGACCGATGTGTGGGGCCTGCAGGTCCTGTAGGCTGAGGCCTGGGCCCTGGAGCCTGGTCAGTGCCCCTGACACCTGTGGCTCCTGGGGTGCCAGGGGGTGGACCCGGCTGTGGGTGGGCGGCCTGCGGGGCCCGTGGCCTCCGTGGACCGGGGACCCAGAGCCTCCCGCTGACCCGCTGCCTCCGTCGCCGCAGAAACCAAGGACGACCTGGAGCAGCTCACGGCCGAGATCAAGAAGAGAGCCAACAACGTCCGGAACAAGCTCAAGAGTAAGGGGGCAGAGGCCCGGTCGCCCCCAGACCCCCGTGACCCGCCCCCCTCTCTGCCTGCGCTTGGGGCCTGCCCCCGGGGTCCTGGACAGAGGGTGGGATCCGGGCCTGCCCTGCCCCTGCCCCCCTGCCCCTGCCCCTGCGGGGACGACTCGGCTTGAGCCTGGCCCTGGAACAGCCCTGCCGGGTCCTGGGCACGGGGACGCGGGGGCCCGCGGGTCGCTCCTGCCGCCCTGGGGGGTTGGGGGGGACGGGGGGCACCGGCGGGGCTCACCGCGGCCGCGTGGGGACAGCGCAGGCCCGGGGGGGGGGGCGTGGGGGGGGGCCGCGCCGCAGGCGCCGTGTGCCGCGCCTGGGCCGCGCAGGTGAGCCGCCGTGCCCGCAGGTATGGAGCGGCACATCGAGGAGGACGAGGTGCGGTCGTCCGCGGACCTGCGCATCCGGAAGTCGCAGGTGAGGGGCCCGCGCCTTGCCCGTCCCTGCGTCCGTCCGTGGAGGGGAGGGGAGGGGAGGGGAGGGGAGGGGAGGGGAGGGCTCCGCCGGCGGGTAGGGGGAGGCCGCCCCCACGAGGCCCCGGCTGTGCGGGAGGGAGGAGGCGGGGCGAGCCGGGCCTGGGCGGTGGGTCCCGGCGGGGGGAGGCGGTGCGGCCGAGCGGACCTGGGGGACCTGGGGGCGCGGGGCTTGCTCGGGGCTTGCTCGGGGCTTGCTCGGGGCTGCGGCGGGGCTGTCCCTGGCGCGGGGCCCGCGGGAGGGTCCCGGTCCCGGAGCAGCGCGCCCAGCGCCCCGGCTCGTCCCGCAGCACTCGGTCCTGTCCCGGAAGTTCGTGGAGGTGATGACCCGGTACAACGAGGCCCAGGTGGACTTCCGCGAGCGCAGCAAGGGCAGGATCCAGCGGCAGCTCGAAATCAGTACGTGCGAGTCCCCGCGCCTCCGCCCGCCGTGCGCCCCTCGCCCTCGCCCCTCGCCCCCCGACAGCCGCGCCGGACAGGCCCTGGGGCTCCAGGACGACGCGGGGCCTCGCGACCTCCGGGTCCTGGGCGGCCGAGGCCCCCTGTGACCTGCGGGGGTGCGCGGTGCTGCGAGGAGCCCGGCCCCGTGGCGGGCGGGGAGGGGTGCGGGGGTGCGGGGGCTGGGGGTGAGGCCAAGGGCACGGCCTGGGGCGACCTCGCCGCGCTTGGGCCGCGTGTCTGAAGCGCTGCCTCTTTACGGCAAAGCGGGCAAGAAGACCACGGACGAGGAGCTGGAGGAGATGCTGGAGAGCGGGAACCCCGCCATCTTCACCTCCGGGGTGAGCGTCGGGGCGCGGGGCCGCGGGGGGGGGGGGGGGAGGGGAGGCCGGGGAGGGGGAGGGGAGGGGGAGGCCGCGGGGACTCTGCGGGCTGCGCTCACGGCGCCCCCCCCCCTCCCCCGCCCAGATCATCGACTCCCAGATCTCCAAGCAAGCGCTGAGCGAGATCGAGGGGCGGCACAAGGACATCGTGCGGCTGGAGAGCAGCATCAAGGAGCTGCACGACATGTTCGTGGACATCGCCATGCTCGTGGAGAACCAGGTAGGCGCGGCGGCGGGGCCGGGCGGGGCCGGGCGGGGCCGGGCCGGGGCTCCAGGGGCCGCCCCCGACGCGGGGCTCTCGACGGGCGGGCGCACGGGCTGCCGGGGCGCCCCACGCTGACCCTGCGCGGCCAACAGCTCCCCCCGGAGGTTGGGGTTCCCCGTGTCCCTGCGGCCGCTCCGCGCCGCGCCCGTTTTGGGCCTCGTGGCGTAGGGGCGGGGGCGGAGGGCCCTGGAGGAACGGGCCTAGCGCCTGTACGAGGCCCCGGCCCGGCCTAGCTCGTCCCCGGGCTGCGGGGTGGCGGCTGCACAGGGCCCCAGGTGCCCTGCGCCCCCGTGGGCCCCTGCCCCGACCCCGAGCGGCCCCTGCCCCGCCCCAGGCTCCGGGCGCCCCCTGCCCGGCCCTGAGCCCCTTAAGCGGCTGCGCCCTCCCCGTCTTCTCTTTCCTGCCCTCGCGGCCGCGCCGAGGAATGGGCTTGCGGGTCGAGAGGCGGTAAGTGCCGGTGTCTGCGCGGCGGCCGCCGGGGAGGGCTGGGGCGCCGCGGGGTCCGCCAGGCCGAAGGGCCCGGGCGGGGGGGGGGGGGGTGTGTGGGCTCCGCTGGGCGCGGGGAGCGGCCGCAGCGCCCCCGGCAGCCCCCGAGCGCCCCGGCCCGCCCGCCGCCCGCAGGGGGAGATGCTGGACAACATAGAGCTGAACGTCCTGCACACGGCGGAGCACGTGGAGAAGGCGCGCGAGGAGACCAAGCGGGCGGTCAAGTACCGCGGCCAGGCCCGGAAGGTGAGGCCCGCCCCGCCCCGCCCCGCTCACCGCGCTCTGCTCGCTCTGCTCTCTCTGCCTGTCGCCGGCGCGGGGGGAAGGGGGCCATGATCGACCGCATCGAGAGCAACATGGACCAGTCGGTGGGCTTCGTGGAGCGCGCCGTGGCGGACACCAAGAAGGCCGTCAAGTACCAGAGCGAAGCCCGGAGGGTGAGCCCTCCGCCCCTGGAGCCGGGCCTGCGCCCCCGCCGGTCCCTCCCACCCGCGCCCCTGAGCCCGGCCTCCCCGGCCTCCCCGGCCGCCCAGCCCCAGCCCCAGCCCCAGCCCCAGCCCCAGCCCCAGCCCCAGCCCCAGCCCCGCATGGATCTGGCTCGCGCTCGCCCGCCAAGAACCCACCCTCGAAGCCCCTCGTGCAGCGGAGGCCGCGCCCGGACAGAGCTCAGGGCCCCCCCGTCCCCCCTCCCGGTCCCCCCTCCCGGTCCCCCTCCGGTCCTCAGAGGCCGGTTCCTCCTCTTCCCCTGTGGACCCCCGTGCTGTCACCACCCTGACACCCCTCCCCTCTTCCCCACACCTGTCCTTCCTACCTGCGGCAGGCCGGCCGGCCGTGGAGCGCGGAGGCTGGTTGGCTCCGGGCCCCCCAGTAAGCCAGGCGGTGGGATGCGCATCAGGCTCCTTCCCCCTCACGGGACACCCCCCTGCAGCGACCCCGTTGCTTGAGCACCTCTGGGTTTCTCTGCCCGCATGGAAGCCGGCTCTGGTGGCTTGTGCTTTGTTCTTCTCTGACCACTTCTCCTGGGTTCCGATACTTTGGTTCTTCAGTTCCTTTCTTCCCACTTTACCTATTGCTTGTGCAGGGAGCCGGGGAGCCAGGGAGCCGGGGAGTTGTTACCTGGCGAACCTAGGCTGGCTCACGACAGGACCACAGTCATGCTTTCCGATCCCCAGTCAGCGGACTGGGTCTGACGGGCGGGCATGTGCTTCACGGGAGAGGGACAGAAGTCTGAAATTAGGACTATTCGAAAACATAGGCCACTTCTTGGAAAAGGAAAAATCGGGCACTTGACACCTTGGCCTGTTGCTACTCGGGAGACCCCGAGACAGTTGCTTTCTTACCTGTCCACATGTGCAAGACTCAACGTGACACAAGAGCCAGCAGAAGCTCCGTATTTCCGCCTGCTGGCCTTGCTAGCCAGGAAGTCCTTAAGAAACATAAAACATCGTAATAGAACGTCTTTATATAGAGCTATAGTCCTATTTGGGTCGGTAAGAGGCTTTCGGCGTAGAGGTGAGAGCGGTCGGGTTTTGGACGAACTGCTTTTTGGTTGTTTGTAACAATGGTTTGTTTTCTCTTATCCTCCCCAGAAATTGATAATTATCATTGTGGTAGTAGTGGTGTTGCTGGGCATTTTAGCGTTGATTATTGGACTTTCCGTTGGGCTGAAGTAATGGTGGCCCGAGCGGCTGCTGCACTGAAATGTAAGTAAATGGGAGGTTCGTGGGGACTCTGGATTGGCAACTCCTTGAGAACTCGGCCTGAGATCCCCCCGGCCCTTCTGTCCCCGCCCGTGGTCATCCTTGGACGCTGAGCGCTCTCGTACTTTCCGTTGCTCGGACTCGGTCTCCTGTCCTCCAAACCCTCTTCTGGCTCGGCTCCCGCTGGCTCCTCTCCTGGGGCCTCCCCCCGGCTCTTTGTCTTACGCTGCGCTGCTGCCCGGCCGGGCACATCCGAGCGCCGCGTCTTCACTCCCTCTGCTGGGCACTCAGGTTCCTCATGGGTACACTCTAGACCTGGACTGGGGTCTGTCTTCTGGGTTCTTGCTGACTTTCGCAGATTTCGGGCCTCGCTTTCCATATCCTTTCCAGTACAAACAAAGCTTTGGAGTGGGGCTTGGGGGGCAGTAGGGTCTTGCTTGTGGCTGACGGGCTGGACGCCGAATGCTAGAGCAGCCAACACTGGAGTGTTGCGTCGTGCCACGGCCTGCACTGAACGCTCGCACACACGTCCTTGAGTCACAGGACACTGTCCTGAAGGAGGACGTACTGCTGTGACCCTTATCTTATGGACAAGTCACAGGGCCAGGTGTGAACACACAGCAACGGTAGGCCTAGGAGAGTTCTCCGCACCGTAGCCTCTCTCTGTAAAACCTCGTAGCCGTTTATGGTCTACGCAGTCCCGAGAACCGTGAAGGAGAGGGACTCTAAAATTTAGGCTATTGATTTCTTTAAAATCTGGTGAAAAGAATAGAGCTGAGCCCTGAGTCGGGGCTTCATGTGCAGAGGAGCAGCAGGACAGGATGGTCTCACTACTGGCACGGTCCGCACCCCCGTGACGTCTCAGGTATTAACAAAAACCTATCAAACACAGAAAAGGGGAACAGCATTTTTGATGTTACTGCTGATAACGTCGTGGCACGCTCACACACTCAGACCTGTTTCAGAGTTCAGATAGATCCTCGGTGGTTTGAGGCTCCGTTCAGAGATCCTACGCACCGCAGCCTCCTTGTGAATCTGATTTTCAGCACAAGATTGTGAATATACTCTCGATTATTTAATACTTCCCCAAGGTTGGAGTTTGGGGATTACTGGGTTCCTATACTTAACGGTACGACTAATCTGTATTTTTCTCATTTCAGTGTTGTCTTTATGTTAGGAACTCAGAGAGGGCAGGTGGCTGAGGTAATGGGTGCTGGACACATACCTCCGCCACGGCGGTGCCCAGACCCGAGCCTTCTCTATTTTTGCTCCTGTGTGTCTCTTCCTCCCACCTCCTCCCACGTGACCAGAGTCTCCAAGTCAGATAATCATAGCACTAAACATCCCCTTCTTCTCGAGAATGTAGATGAATCCCTTCTTTAAATAAGGAGACTAATTAACGTCTTTGCGGACTTACGTGCCCCTCAGGAGGCTGCGTCGCTGAGCAGCGTTGGGCTGTGTAGGGCGGTGCACTCCGTCAAGGTGGTCAAGGTGGTCAAGGTGGACGGCTGCCGCTCTCAGGCCTGGACCCTCCCTCCACATGGCCTGAGGCCGAGAGGGAGGAGACAGCCCACCTTGGACTCCCCAGTGGTGTGCCAGGTGCTGTTCTAGGGCGGTAACGCTGTCCCCATTTTCGGATGGGAAACTCTGGAGCTCAGTGAGGCTAAGAAACCTGCCCAAGCTGGCCCAGCTCCTAAGACGAGCAGCCGTGGTGACCCCTGAACTTTTCTTTATTCTTTTCACTGTGTTAGAGAAGCGGGGAGGAGGGGAGGGGTGGAGAAGACCCGAGCTCTGGAGCTCGATGTGCAAGGTGCTGCCGAGGGCCCCGTAGAGAGAACAGGTGTTCTCGTGCGGTGACTGTGCCTCCCCGGCGTGTCCTCCCAGGAAACGTCACAGCGCCCGCGAAGGGCCAGCAGAGGCCCTGGGATTTATCCCCTCGTAATATGGCCTTTGTTTCTTCGCAGTACGACGTGTAGCCCCGGGTCGCGTCTGCGGGATGTCAGGTGTGGGGTGGACCTCTCGGTTGCCCTCCTTTCCCTGCAGTGACGTGATGTTCCCTGTCCACCCCCTAGGCCTGCTAATGTTGCCCTCCGCCGCCGTCCTGCGCACTGATGAGCTCCTCCCTCCCCTGCCTCCCTTAGAGCCTGATCCACTCCAGCCTGCTGTGGCCACCCTCGTCTTCAGATGGGAACGGAGTCCGAGGGGCCTTCCTGAGTGGGACCTGTTCCTTTGCTTCCTTGTAACCGTCCTTGGACCTGACCCAGCAAACACTCTGGCCCCGGAGGAAGCTAACCTCCCTGATGCAGCCCCGAGTTCTCCTCACCTCCTCCTGCCCCGCCAGCTCCCGAGCACCTTCTCTCCCGGACAGTGCGAACCGCCCGGCTCCCCTTCTTCCCTCTGAACGTGGCACGTTACCCCTTGCACCGGGGAGAGCTCGCTCACAACCTCCCCGAGGGGCTGTTTTCTACCTCACGGACTGTTCCCTCAGACGTTGCAACGAATCTCTTCAGGGGTGTCCGAAACAACACAAAGGGGTTCTCCCGAGCGGGGCAACAGTAAGGCTGGACGCGAGCCTTCTACTTGGCAGGTCTCGGCCCCCAGCTGCTTGTCCCTGGGTCTTGCAAATATGAGGGACTGCAGATGTCACGTTGGTCTTAGAAGCTGACTTTCGGGAAATTCGGTCTTAAGTTACGCCTTGAAGATGTTCAGCCTGGCGGCCAACTTCAGCCTTTACGCTGTGGTCGCTCAGGTCTACTCAGGGAGGCTCCAGGGGCCGTGGCGGCCTGGGGTTTCCATCTGTAAAAGCTGAGGGTAGGGGCCTTGTTTCCCTCGGACTCTTGGAAACTGGCTCTTCTCATCGGACTGATGCTTTGTGAAGCCACTGCCTTGAGGCCGGAAGAACCCAGGGGCTTAAAATTGGGCCATGGGCCAGGGACGAGGTGCTGGAGCCTCGGGCTCTGGAAACGCTCAGATTGGTGCGAGTGTTCAGTCACTCATTTCGTATATTCCAGATGTATTGTTATAATCACGTGTGTCAGATGTATGTTCATGTTTGCCCGTGTCTCTCAGGAAGTAGGAAACTAGAAATGAAGACTATTAGAACCTCAAAAATAAAAAAAAAAAAAAAAAAAAAAAAAAACTTGAGCAGGGCTAAAAACTAGGTAAGAGACATTTGCTTACCTGCAAATGGATCCTAGTAGAAATGGATCTTCCCGTGTCATCGAGAAGCCTCGTTTTCTAGATGGGGACTGGAACAGTCCTAGATCTTTGGGGGGAGGACTACGTTGATCCCGTTAAGTTTTTCTGCGTAGCAGACAGGTGCGACAGGCTTGGCACCTCTCCCCGCTGCTGCGTAGGTGAGGCTTGTCCTGAGAACATCCACAGCGGCTTGAGGTTGATCCTGTGCCTTCAGGATGGTCCTGTCTCCAGGGCAGAGTCAGTTGGGGAGACTGGCGACTACTACTGAGTAGCTCATCCTGTTACCCGGTTAATGAGCTTCACAGGTTTTGTCTCCCCCGTTCTTGTCACGGAGGAAGCAACAGCCAGGAAACGATTTCAGGTGAGTGGCTCTGCTGACCCAGGGCGAGCCCCTTGGACTCCCTGCCCGTCTCCCTGACTTAGGGCAGCTCTGACTCCCTAGGATGGGGTGAGCAGCACCTAATCCTACCGCTTGGCTTCCTTTGCAAAGGCCACACACTCCACCGTTGCTCAGCACTCAGACAGAGCCAAGGGGATGTCCTCTTGCCCATGGCTATGAAGTCAGACAGTGGACTGGCCCCAGCAACAAGGGCAGCCAAGCTCTAGTCACAGGCCTTTGTGGAGGCCTGGGGCTTAGTGTGGAATACAAGTGAAGGCTTTTTGGTCATTTGTATTTTTTTTAAATGTAAACTTGATTATTTTATTGATAATTTAAAAAATAAATGACTTTATATTGATCGCAAAAACAGTTCTGGCTCCGTTTCTCTGCAAAACAGTGGTTGGGTGCCACCATGTGGTGGTTTTTGTTTAGGTTTTGGAAAAGGGTTAGGATCCTTTTTAACCGTGTGCCAGACCTGATGGACCAAAGTTCTAATTTTTGAGAACGGTTCAATTTTCAAAGAATAGTGTGTATTTGAGTTTCAGACTTACGGTGTTCCTCCCAAGAATTCGGTTCACTTGTCGGGAGCATTGATTCCAGGAGAGGGGAAAGCCGATGTGATGGGATCTAGAAGGCGGAGCAGACTACACATCCTCCGAGATTGCTGTTGATCCAATTTTGAACCTCTCGCCTGAACATCCCGGGTTCTAGAAGCCAGATCCATGTCCCTTTCCCTTCACATCCTCCCCCGTGTCTAGATCCACTTTTGTCTTCCTTCCCTTGCAACTCTGCACGGTGATGCTGCTTCTCACGTGCTTTTTCTTTCCTTGTCTGGACGAGCAGAAGAAGATCATGATCATGATCTGCTGCATTATCCTTGCGATCATCTTAGCTTCTACCATTGGGGGCATATTTGCCTAAAAAAGGTGAGCCGGCTGTGGGGAGGGTCAGATCCCCGTTCACCTACTTGAAACTCTGATGTCCATAGGGCACTCGCTGTTTGTCCCTGGTTGCCCCGGATTTGGGTGGTATTAGGTGCAAGAATAAAGGCTGGAGAAAACTACAGGGTTTCATAGAAATGGGCGAATAATGAGTTGGCAGTGGACGGGAGGCAGGAGGTGGCAGTGCTGGGAGCACAAGGCTATTTAGAATGCTTCGTAGAAGGACGTCAATTTGTTGCTGATTTCCTGCAGCAAAATTTGGGCTGTGGCGTCTGGGAGAGGCCAAGAGAGAATTAGTTCTGGCATTAGAAGCACGCTGAGCCCGTAGGAGAGCGCCAGCCAGTAGCCAGTAAACCCGGAGTAAATGGGCTTTCCCCCTGGGAGGGCTAGGAGCTAGGACAAGGGAGTGCAGGCTCACGGCCCTGCAGAGGAAGGACGCGATCCTGGCCTCCAACGTCCGGTTATGTAATCTGTGGTTTTCTCCTTCTCCGCTGTCTCCTGTAGTCCTCAGCGATGGAGCCTCGGCCGGCATCTTTAATCCTCCTTGCGCTTCCGTGGTGCCATCACTTCTCCACTGCAGATTCCTCAACAGCTACTCCTCTTCCCATTAAGAAATCCACGACACGGGGCGTCCATCAACCACCTAGGAAAAGTCATGCAAAGGCAGACAGGACAGGACAGGACAGGGTGGGGGGCACAGGGAACCACTGTGGCTGCTTCGGAAGGCGGGGCCAGGGTCAGGGTCAGGGTCAGGGAGGGGCTGCGGGTAGAGGATAGGCGCCTGTTGGGCAAACAGCAGCCAGGCCGGTCCTGGAGCACAGCCAGCTCCTCAGCAGCTGCTCATTTCCTCCTTGGTCAACACCAGGCACTTGTTACATCTGCCCTTCAGGTTCCTTAGGACTCAACTCCCACCAGCCTTCCATCCACTTCCTTCTTCAGGGCCTAATAGTCCAAAGTGAAGATGCTCTAACCATAGGCACCATGCAGGTCTTGCTCAGGGCAGCGTCCCCAGTGCTTAGCACAGCGCCTGCCACTTGCAGGTGCTCACGTTATGTTGACTTAATTACCTGTAATTCAGCTCTTATTTCTGCTCATGGAAGAGTCCATGGGTTTAAACCCTATGAGGCATCAGTGGTAAATGGGTTGCTGGTCTCAGAGGCTGTGTGCAAATACCTGGGGGAGGGCTCACGGACACGCACAGACACCGCAGGCCTCCCGTTACCGTGACACACGGTGGAGCTGATAGGGTCTCACTCTGCAGAGATTGGTTGGCTCGGGATTGTGGCTCAGTAAGAACGTGGACTCCAAACAAAAGAACCAGGTTGACCCCACGGCTGAACTCCCAGAGATCATCCGCACCAAGCTCCGTGAACCGTGACAGCGAGGTCAGGTCACAAAGATGGCAGGAGGCTACCGCTCGCATTGTTTCTTCTGAGTCATGCGGCCAGCGGGAACGGATGTTGCTGGCCGGCGACGTGTGTGTAAAACTGTCCCCGACACTGGCCCCAGGTGAAGGTTCAGATGTCTTCTAATGCAATCTAGTAATTATGGTACTAGAGGTTCACTAAAAATGTATTAAAAACCACCACGTACAACTGTTATACGTGTACTTTGGAAAGTGAATTCTTTGCCGGACAGCTTTTTAAGAAAGTGGGATAAAAAAAAGCTGACCTTGCCAGTCTGTGCTGTTTTCTACCCACTTTCAAAAAGCAAATGGTTCACTACTTCTATCCATTTGTATTTCTTTTAGTTCGAATAGGGGCTAGAAAACTGCTGGGGAGCTCTGGAAGAGAGAAACTTTGTTGAAGGCAGACAGGAGGGTGGGGCCACGGGGCCCTCGTCCATCCAGCAGGTGGCTGGGCGTCGGGGGGCACACCGCACTGTACTGCGCCGTGCAGGGACAGAGGGAGGGCCAAACACTCGCCCTCCTCAGAGCACTTCAGACCTAGGAAAGGCCAGGCAACTTCGACGTTTGCTTACCAGCTCCTGTATTAAAAAGCAAGAGTGTATTCCTCATCATACTGTTCAACACCCCCCACCCCCACCCCCACCCCGCCTTCCAAGAGTGAGAGATGGCTAGCTGGGCATAAATAAATATCTGTTCAGTCAATCCACGTATGTACCACTGTTGTTTTTTTGCTTTTCCAAAAACCTGTTATCTAGTAAATACCGCGAATGGCTCCTGAAGTGTACATATAAAAGGCAGCACAGAATTCCCCCACTGTCCAAACGTAGAGTGTTCCCAGGCTGAAATGATACACAGTGAAGAGTTACCGTTTTGTAAACGCGGGAACCTTCAGTTTCCTTCAGCTGGAGAAGAACAGGTACTAAGGTAGAGGTCTGGTACAAGTGAAGCCACGAGGCCGACTGACAGCAGGAAACCCCGTGCAGATACTAAATCCATCTTACCCCAAGGCGGGAGACCCTGAAGACCTTGACCTGACAGCTGGGGAGAACTGGACCCCCGACGGTCGGTGGAGCCAGCTTTGTGACCATTTAAGGGCCAGGAGGGACCAACGAGAAGTTATACTCTGAGGGGACAAACTTTATTTAATGTAAACAGGATGCACTTAAAACAAGAGATACGGTACCATTTTCCAGAAGCCACTTACTCATCCACTGCTCCTCAGTTAGCTGTCGGAGCCCCCGAGACTTTCTCTCCGTGGCCTTTGTCCACCTCCGTCTCCCCTCCTCCCTACACTCGCTCAGGCATGTAGAACTTGCCCCAGTACCGCCCCTTCTGGGTCAAGTCGTACGGGCTCAGGTATTTCCGAATCCCCAGCATGTTGGCGGTGACTATGCGCTCAAAGGTCCAGGGGTTTTGGTTGTTCTGTTCTCGCTCCTCCTGATCTCTCCGCATCTTCTCTAGAGTCTCACGGCTCACGGCCTTCGCTGGGAACGGCAACTTGTGGGCAACCTGGTCGAGGAAACCTTGTACCTCCTTGAATTCACAACGCCCGCCCAACTCCACTATGAGACGGCCAGCCTTCACGGGGGTCACGTAGTGATCAATGGCACCTTTGCCACCCCCCATGCGCTGTCCCATACCCTTGCGGGTAATGGGCTTGAAAGGGGCCGGTACTCTCCATAAAGCAAACATGTTCTTGGGGTCCATGGAGCGGTTGATTGTCAGGCGCATCATTTCAAAATGGCCCCAATGGAGGTAACCACCACCCAGCGCCTAGAAGTGGATGAAAGAATTAGAAACATACAGGAACTTAGTTATCTTTCATGGGCTCTTTTATAGTAACTGTGGCTTTAATTACATACATAAAAATAAAAGTCCTAATAAGTACCCTGGAGATAACACCTAGGGTGTGGTAGTAAATGAAAACAAGGTGGACCCATTTCAATGGAGGAGGTGATATGTAAAACAGACCAGGAAAAAATAAATAAACAAATAAATAAAACATACCAGAATGGTAGGAATTAGCCAAAGGAAACGGACAACAGTTACAGAGGAATGGCTTGGTGAGTCTGAGCAGAAGCCGGAGAGGCTGGGGGGGGGGGGGAGGGGGGGGAGTGCACCTGAGCCTGGGAGAAGCCGGAGAGGCTGGAGTAGCGTGGGGGGCCGGGCATGGACCTGAGCCTGGGAGAAGCCAGAAAGGCTGGGGGGGTGGGGAGGGAGTGGACCTGAGCCTGGGAGAAGCCGGAGACTGCAGCAGTGGGGTGGGGGGGGGGGGGCCGGGTGTGGACCTGTTGGGCTGATCAGGCCGTGGAAGGACTGTACAGCGTCCCGTGGGCTGCCTGATGGGAAAGCCGCTGGGTCCACACCCACCTGTGCAGTGACTGACATCAAGTCCCCGGGAAGCTACTCCGAGGCAGGAAGACCGCTGGCCGCCTCCTAAGCCATGGGTAGTTTTATTTTTACCAGAGGTCTCAGAGGATCTCATAGGGACCACCAGCGAGGTAGCTTCCTTCTGTCTTTACGTTATTTTCACGCAACATGTAAAAGCGAGACCTAGGACTCAGACGCTGACTGGGAAGCGCACACCAGCTTGAAGAGCAAATGGTGGCACTTCTGAGACAACCAACCCATGGAGGAAGGGAATTAACTCGCGAGCAGGACACTTGGCAACCCGCCGACCTCCCTCCGGGAGTGGCAGGACTCTGACGTCACTTACCAAGATTGCAAAGTTGCCCTCTGTGAACTCGGTGGCTTCCGTAGAAGGTCCCCGGATGTCGCCCAAGTTCTTAGGTTCTCTCCTCACTTTTGGCACGAGTGGTACCCTTTCCACAAATCTAAGCTTGGGCTTCTCCGGAATGGAAACATCTAAAAGGAGCACAGACAACCAAGAGTCAGTACAACCACACATCTCAAAGGACCCATTTTCTTCCTACAAGACTCTCATCAGTCAAGTCAAAGTCCTAAAGTTCCCACTGGAAAAAAAAAAAAAAAAAACCTCAAATGCTTAAAAGGTTTTTCCTGTGGATGCTTTTTTACGGACAGTGGGATCTGGTTATAACAAGTGTTAATGGGATACAGCGAACAACGGGCGAGACCCACAGTGACCCCCGTGCAGAGTCTTGGCCCTCAAAGGAAACTCCCTCTAACGCAGATGAGACCGTCTGGAAGGCAGAGACTGAGACTGTCCCAGAGAACACCCACTAAATTATTTTTTTTAACGTCTAGCAAGTGCTAGACGTTGAGCTGAACGCTCTATGTGCAGCATCTTGCTTTATCTTTAAGATAACTTCACAGCCCCGGTCATTTTTTAGCGCTTCCCGTGTCTAGGATGCTGAGCTTCTTAGAGTGCAACACCCGTAACCCCAGGGCCGGATAACCGTGCAGCTCAGTTACCGCAAAGTGAACGCACAAACATACCCCCGGTCGCTGTCGTCAGGCAGGTACTGCTTGAAATCTCCGTTTTATAAAAGAGGAACCTGAGGCCTAGAGACCTTTGCTCAGGTGGTCCGGGCCGCCCAGGGACAAGGGCACAGCCACTCAGGCCCTGTGGACGTCAGCGGGGCGCGGAGCACCCTGCAGGGACCTGAATCCCTAAGTTCTCCGCTCCCCCGCTCTCGGGAGGACGCCTGCTGGGCCTGCACGGGGCCCTTCATGCCCACACCTGTGCACTTCGGCCGAGGGCGACACCTGCTGAGGGCGGGGGCTGAAGCGCAGGCCACACAGGCCTCTGACCGCTTGGGGAAAACACCTGTTCCCCCCTAGGTCACCTAAGGCTGTCTCGGGTAAGGCAGGCAGGCAGGGCTGCACCACCCAGTCCAACACCCCATTAGGACCGCGCTCGGGGGCACAGCAACTGCCCCCTGCGCCCCTGCGGCTTCGCCAGGCAGCGGGAAGCCCGAGGCCTGCAGTGACGCTTCTCCACCCCCGCCCCGGCACTTGCAGGACCTGCACCTTCACCTGGTGTCTACGGTAAAGCCCCTCAGAGGCCCACGCTGCCGGTGCTGGTTTCTTTCTTTAAGGTTTCCAATCTATCAAAGACACGACCGAGGGTGGTTTATCTGAACGTCGGCCTCCCTCCCGCGGGCCAGCGCTTCCGCATCTGGTTCCGGGGCGCCCGCGGGGCTCGCCGGCCTTGGGGGAGAACATCAGGGCTGCGGCCCGCGAGGGGCCTCCGCTCCCTGGAGGCACCGGGTCCTGGGGCTCCGGCTCCTCGCGCCTCCCGGCTCGCCGCGGCCCGCAGGGCCCGCCCAGAAACGGGGACACACCCGGGCCCCAGCTCTCACCCTCGAAGGTCGGCACCGGGAGCAGCGTCTTCAGGCCAGCGCGGGCGGGCGGGGCGGGCGGGGCGGCCCGGGGACCTAGAGGGAAAGGCAGTGAGACTCCGCGGCCACGGCGGGGGCACGAGACACCGCAGCGCAGCCCGGGCAGAGCCGGGGCAGAGCCGGGGCAGACCTCACAGCCCCACGGCGCCCCGACCGGGGCGGGGGGGGGGGGGGGGGGGGGGGGGAGGCGGGGGGGAGGCGGGGGGGCAAGCAGAGGGAGCGGGGCAGGGGAGGGGGGCACATCCCCGCGGACGCCCCTCCCCCAATGACTCCTGCGGCCCCGCGCCCCTCCCCCAACGACCCCCGCGCCCCTTCCCCACCGACCCCTGCGGCCCCGCACCCCTCCCCCACCGACCCCGCGCCCCTCCCCACCGACCCCTGCGGCCCCGCACCCCTCCCCAACGACCCCCGCACCCCTCCCCCAACGACCCCCGCGCCCCTTCCCCACCGACCCCTGCGGCCCCGCACCCCTCCCCCACCGACCCCGCGCCCCTCCCCACCGACCCCTGCGGCCCCGCACCCCTCCCCCACCGACCCGCGCCCCCCCACCGACCCTCGGCCCCGCACCCCTCCCCCAACGACCCCCGCGCCCCTTCCCCACCGACCCCTGCGGCCCCGCACCCCTCCCCCACCGACCCCGCGCCCCTCCCCACCGACCCCTGCGGCCCCGCACCCCTCCCCCAACGACCCCCGCGCCCCTCCCCCAACGACCCCGCGCCCCTTCCCCACCGACCCCTGCGGCCCCGCACCCCTCCCCACCGACCCCGCGCCCTCCCCACCGACCCCTGCGGCCCCGCACCCCTCCCCCAACGACCCCGCGCCCCTTCCCCACCGACCCCTGCGGCCCCGCACCCCTCCCCCAACGACCCCCGCACCCCTCCCCCAACGACCCCCGCGCCCCTTCCCCACCGACCCCTGCGGCCCCGCACCCCTCCCCCACCGACCCCGCGCCCCTCCCCACCGACCCCTGCGGCCCCGCACCCCTCCCCCAACGACCCCCGCACCCCTCCCCCAACGACCCCCGCGCCCCTTCCCCACCGACCCCTGCGGCCCCGCACCCCTCCCCCACCGACCCCGCGCCCCTCCCCACCGACCCCTGCGGCCCCGCACCCCTCCCCCAACGACCCCCGCACCCCTCCCCCACCGACCCCTGCGGCCCCGCACCCCTCCCCCAACGACCCCCGCGCCCCTCCCCCAACGACCCCTGCGCCCCTTCCCCACCGACCCCCGCGGCCCCGCACCCCTCCCCCAACGACCCCGCGCCCCTCCCCACCGACCCCTGCGGCCCGCGCCCCCCCCTCCACCGCCCGGCAGCGCCCCTTCCTCCCGCACGAGTCCCCGCGGCGGCGGGAGCCGGGAGACCAAGCGCCAGCGGAGCCTCCGCGGGGCGGGCGGGGAGGACGGGAGGGCTGCTGGCGCCGCGGGCTCCTGACCTGACGTCCGCGCCCGCAGGAGCGGCGCCCCGGCCCGAGCCAGCAGCCGCCACATGGCCGCGCGCGACCGGCCGCCCGGGCTCCACAGCGACCTCGGCGCCGCCCTGCACCCGCCGGGCCGGAAGTGACGTTGGCGCGGGTCCGCCCCCGGAGAGTCCCGGCGGAAGTGGAGGAACCCGGGCCGCAGCGCTGGGGTTCCGGCGATGTCAGTGCTAGCCCCGCCCCCGCCGCTGTTGGGGTCTGCGCAGTCGGGACCTCGGGACCCCGGGACGCGGAGGTCGCGGAGCCTGTGCCGGGGGGGCGGGGCGGGAGCCTCTGCTGTGCTTCCCGGGGGCGGGGCCTGTGCCGGGGGGCGGGGCTGCGGCCTCTGCTATGCTCCCGGGGGCGGGGCTGCGGCCTCTGCTATGCTCCCGGGGGCGGGGCTGCGGCCTCTGCTGTGCTCCCGGGGGGCGGGGCCTGTGCCGGGGGCGGGGCTGGGGCTTCTGCTGTGCTTCCCGGGCGCGGGGCCTTCGCCAGGGGGGCGGGGCTGGGGCCTCTGCTGTGCTCCCGGGGGCGGGGCCTGTGCCGGGGGGGCGGGGCTGCGGCCTCTGCTGTGCTGCCGGGGGCGGGGCCTGCGCCAGGGGGGGGGCGGGGCCGGGGGGGCGGGGGGCAGGGGCCTCTGCTGTGCTCCCGGGGGCGGGGCCTGCGCCAGGGGGCGGGCGGGCCTCTGCTGTGCTCCGGTGGCGGGGCCTGCGCCAGGGGGGCGGGGCTGGGGCCTCTGCTGTGCTCCCGGGGGCGGGGCCTGCGCCAGGGGGGCGGGGCTACGGCCTCTGCTGTGCTTCCCGGGGGGCGGGGCCTGTGCCGGGGGTGGGGGCGGGGGCTGCGGCCTCTGCTGCAGCCTCCCCAGCCCTGGGCCCTGACCTGGGGCGCTCCCCAGGTTGCACCCTGGCCTGAGCTGGGAGCTGGTGCTGGTGACCTGTTAGGTGTTGTGTCCCCCCCCAGCCCCCCCCAGAGGTGGAGGTCTGTCACCTGGAGGGGAACAGCACCATCCCGCCTGGAGGCCTTGCTGCTCCAGGGACCCCAGGGCCTGGACAGTTACCAAAACTTGAGGATTAACGTAAAATAATGAGTATTCTGGCGGAGGCTGGGCCAATCATGTCTTATGGGTCCCAAGCTTTTTAATATTTGGAAGGACAGAGAATCTTTCCCAAGCCTATAGGACACAAATGGGATTGACGCATTGAGACAGCTGTGTGTTGTATTTAAATTAGACTAAATCTCCGTGTGGTCAAGGATTAATTTCATAAATGGCGAGAAATAAAGCCCGTGAGGCTTGCAGGGCTCTTGGGGGGCTTTCTCCGGCCCCAGGCCACCTGCACACCCCTGCACCCCGAAGCTCCAGAGTGAATGGGCTTGACTGCAGCCAGGCCTCTGAGCTTAAGAGCAGGCCTACGAGGGTCAACACCCCCAATCCGGAGCTAGAGCCCGATTCTAGGCAGCCCTTCCCTGCTCCCTCCCACCCAAGGTGGGAGATGACAACGTGCTCAGGCATTAGAACATCTCAGGGTGAATACTGTGTAATTTTGTTTTGGGTGGAAAAATAAAGTGTCAGTACAACCTGTCTTTGATTGGTCTCGAAGTCTTTTGATGCCCTCCCCCCAATTTCTACCTTGTTTATTTTTATTTATTTAACTTATTTTTTTAAAAGATTGCATTTATTTATTCATGAGAGAGACAGAGAGAGAGAGAGAGAGAGAGAGAGAGAGGCAGAGACCCAGGCAGAGGGAGAAGCAGGCTCCACACAGGGACCCTGATGCAGGACTCGAACCCGGGACCCCGGGGTCATGCCCTGAGCCAAAGGCAGGCGCTCAACTGCCAAGCCACCCAGGTGCCCCCTTTTGTTTGTTTTAAAAGAACTAAAAAGTAAACTCAAAGTTTTACATTTAAACAGTTACCATGACAAATGACGCCTATTTTTCTTTGCAACAGTTGTGCCCGGTACAATAGAGGGTACAGAGAGGAAAAGCCAGCGACGCCTTTCATGTTTACGGAGAGACGACGTGATGAGCACAGGCCAGCTACTGCTGAGACCCCAGAAGAGAAGTAAGAGTAGAGCGTCGTGAAAACGGTAGGAGACACATAAGGGCTTCCCTCGTCCCTAAACATGATTTTCCCTCCTTCCAGGTCTCACAGCCCTTTCTTTACGCTTCTCTCTGGTGGTTCCATGGTATGTATCTGTAGGAAACGGATGTTCTGGGATGAAATGATTTGCTCCCCGGCTAGTATGATGCAAAGTAGAGATAAAAAACCTTGATGTTCCTACTTTTACTGGCATGGGTTTGCTAAAACCTCCCCAAAATTGGCTTCAGACCACCTGCATCAGATGTTTCTGAGACCTTGGTGTAAATGTGAATACCTGGTCCCTCCTTACTGAGCCAGACACTGCAGGTGGGGTCCAGGAATTCCTCTTGTGAACTAAGCCCTGTGGGTGATCCTAAAGCCTAAGCAAGGGGAGAACCAGTCCTCGGTGAGGGCTGTGAAATTTTGAGATGCTACAATGTATAGCTACAAGGCATTATTTTTGGATCATCCAGGTCTCTGTTCGCTGGGATTTGTGATTTTCCGATCTGTATAAAAATCACCATCTCCATGTTTAATCTTCCTTATTCTAAAATCAAGAGATAACGCAAGCCTGAAGCCTAACTCCAGGGCCAGTGGTTGACATACACGGCACCCGCACGCATGTTGTCTGTGTGTATGCGCAGGTGTGCGCACGGTCTCATTCTAATAAAAAGATTGGGTTTGGGCTTATCAGAATCTAATCACAATATCGTGATGTGATAAATCACCGTGGAAGCTCCTCATCTCAGGAAGTCCTTGGAACCTCGTCAAAGGGCCAGTGGTACGTCTTCTTCGTCACCTCGCTTCCATATGGTGTAGGGCCTTCCTAAGAGAGCAGCGGTACTGCTGTGCTTTGGGGTCCCGGAGTGAATGGGCGGGAGAGATTTCTAGAGACGTTTCTGGTGCAAAAAAAAAAAAAATGGTTTTTATTAAAGCCCAGAGACAGGACCCATGAGCAGAAAGCTGCGCTGGGGTTGTGAGGGGTGACCGAGTATATTCTTGGAGGGGGTGGGGGTAGCGGAAGTCTGAGGTTTTCGGGACCTTGAGGGGTCACTTCCTACCGTCTAATAAAGCCTCTGTCGTGAGACCCTCCGGGTCAGTGGGCCATAGCCTTGGAGGATGACTGCTCCCATGTATGGGGCGGGGGGGGGGGGGGGTTGTAGAGATAAAGGACGTTTCCAAAGGGATTGACTCACCAGCAACATCAGAGTGCCTGTTGATCCACATACGTGCTGAGCTCTCTTGCACACCTTTTTTATTTTTTGAAATTTATTTATTTTTTTTTACTTAAATTCAATTAATGAACATATGGCATATTCTTGGTTTCAGAGGTAGAGTTTAGGGAGTCGTCAGTCGCATAGAACACCCAGGGCCCCGCCTGCTTCATGCCCATCACCCAGTGACCCGGCCGGCCCTCCCGTGCAGCGACCCTCAGCTGGTTCGTCTCCATCTCTGATTTCATCCTGTTTTATTTTCCCCTCCCTTCGCCTGTGCTCCTCTGTTTTGTTCTTAAATTGCACACGTGAGTGAGACCATATGATAATGGTCTTTCTCTGGCAGGCTTCCTTCCCTCAGCATCACGCCCTCCGGGGCCGTCCTCGGGGAAGCCCGCGGCGGGTGCCATCCTTCCTGGCGGCTGAGTGATGCCCGCTGTATCCATGGACACCTCTTCTTCATCCATCGTCTGTCGGGGGCACCGAGGCGCCTCCCACCGTGTGGCTGCTGTGGACACCGGGGCGCAGGTGCCCCTTCGCATCAACCCCACACGTGCATCCTGGGGGCAAATACCCCGTAGTCGTCACACCTTTCTCTCAGAGCTCTGCCGGCGTGAACACGGACAAAGGACACCCAATGTCATGTGCTTAACAGGCTGTTAAAACAAAATTGTACCTGACTCAGCTTTGTGGTGACCCCCACATTCCCGAGTGAGCCATTGGGCCTTCTGGGCAGATGGATTGATGATTGATTGATTGATTTTTGATTTTATTTATTTTAGAGAGAGAGCACGAGCAGGGGGCGAAGCAGGGGGGAAGAGCCTCAAGCAGGCTCTGCGAGGTGAGCGTGGACTCGATCTCAGGACCCTGAGCCGAAACCAAGAGTCGGAGCTTAACTGACTGGGCCACTCAGGTGCCCCCCCTCCCCCCGCAGGATTCATAAAGGAGGAGGTAGGAACTGGCTGAGGACCCCATGCAGGGTGCGGATTTAGGGTCCTCTTACTTCCTGCTCACCAGGCCCCACCGAGGAGCGGGAGCCAGGAGCTGGAAGAGCCGCAGAGATGGGGGTGTCCAGGGCCTGAGGGAAGACTTGGGGCCCCAGGATGTATTTTTGGTTGGGGCAGAGGAGGACATACTTCAGCCCCTACCAGGTGCCATGGGGGTCAGCCCTGGCAGGGGTCAGAGGCAGGGGGCAGGGAGGCCAGGGAAGAGCCAGGAGCTGCTGGAAGCACCAAGTGGGGCCATGCAGCCCCTCTGCCGCCCTTCGCCCTTGGCTTCCACTGAGGCACCGCAGCCCCAGCAGGTCGGAGCCCGGAGACCAGCACCTTCACCTGCAGATGGATCCACGGTGGTGACTTTTTTTTTTTAATTTTTATTTATTTATGATAGTCAGAGAGAGAGAGAGAGAGAGAGAGAGAGGCAGAGACATAGGCAGAGGGAGAAGCAGGCTCCATGCACCGGGAGCCCGACGTGGGATTCGATCCCGGGTCTCCAGGATCGCGCCCTGGGCCAAAGGCAGGCGCCAAACCTCTGCGCCACCCAGGGCCACGGTGGTGACTCTTAACACAGTATCGGGCGCTTCAGGTACTGAAATCAGAATTTTTATTTTTGTCTTTTTAAATCAGAGAAATGAGAAAATGACAAAGTTGGTTTCGGAGTCTGGGTAAGCGGGAGCAGGGTAAATTCAAGTTTTTTTTTTTTCTTTCTTAAGATTTTCTTTTTAAATAAACTCTACCCCCACCGTGGGGCTGGAACTCCCGACCCTGCGGTCAAGGCGAGGCGGCCCTCGGGTGGGTTTCCACCGGGGTGCGCTGAGGCCCGCTCCGCATCGCGGACTCTACGGGTTGTAGGGCAGCTGGCAGGTTTTCAATGACTTAGTGCTGTTGAGCTTTTTCTCCTCTCTTTGCTCTTATATTTCTGTCGGTTTTCCTGTGTGTGTCATTTGCTTGCCTGTGTGCTTTGTGTTTCTACTGTACCGTGTGTCTGTCAGTTCAAAACATTTGTTATAATATTAAGTACATTGACTTCGTTTATATATGGATTTTTTTATTGTTTTCATTATGTCCTTTAATTTTTTGAGGTAGGACCACCCCTAATTTTCATGCAGTAAATCAGCCAGTTACTTTCTCTGTCTCTCTCAATAAACAAAATCTTTTAAAATAATGTGATTTTATAATACACTAATTTCCCCATAATATTTTTTGACATTTTATCCCATTCCTATGGTCTCCTTGATCGGAAACCAGTGCTACACCCTTTTAATTACTGTCACTTTATTACATATTTTTATGTTTGGTCAAATTCACTGTACTTTCTGTAAAAACATCATGGCTGTTTTGCGGGTTTGGTCCTCAGGATGAAAGCTGGAACTGCTTTGCTCTATTCTCTCTCCCTTTCAGTTTTTATTTTCTTGGCCAGAATTATTCCCCTCCTCCTCCTCCTTCCTTCTTGTTGTCGTTCTTAGAAATCTCAGAGCCATTGGCGCTTCCCAGCAGGATTCTTTGTCATCTTTGTCATTTCAAAGAAATGACGGGATCTGGGGGGGGGGGGGGAGCCTGGAGGAGGGAGGGAGCCTGGAGGAGGCCCCCCTAGTTCCACGTCCCAGGGAGTGATCTCCGGTCCTGAACAGCAAGAGGATATCGTGTATCCAGATAAAGGCAAGCACAGCGGGATGGGAAGCCGGCTTCCCTCCTCCCCCTGCAGACAACTACCAGCCACCTGACCGCTTCCCTGGCTTCCCTGCAGGGAGCTGAGGCTCGGCCAAGGCCGTGGAGGTTGCAGAAACCCTAATGGAGGCGCCTGGGCTCTGGCCATTCATCCGGGAGGAGCACCCAGGCTGCATCCAGCGCTGCAATTGCCACAGGTCACAGGTCCCTTGTCAGCCTATTGGCCTGCCACCCCCCCCCCCGCCCATGCAAAGGAACCCACACAACTAATGGCAAAAATTGGGGGGCAATATTCTCTCTCACACACACTGACACCCCTTCCTTTTTTGTTGCCCAATTTATTGTTACATAAAAAAGACCCGCTTTGTTAAAAGTATTTTCCCCCCATCTTCCGGTTGCCCACTAATGTCTCGAATGGAGAAAAGGTAGACAACAGAGAAGCAAGCAGACGAAATGGGTCACCAGCAACCCCACCACCCGGTGACCCACCCTGATGCTCGGGCCTGGAGGGCACACAGCGCACCATGGGTGACTTTGTGTCAGCAGGTGTTTATCTTCAACACGGATCTTGCTGGTATTTTTTTTTTTAAGATTTTATTTATTGATGAGAGACATAGAGAGAGAGGCAGAGACCCAGGCAGAGGGAGAAGCAGGCTCCATGCAGGAGCCCGACGTGGGACTCGATCCCGGGACCCCGGGGTCACACGCTGGGCCAAAGGTGGTGCTAAACCGCTGAGCCACCCGGGCTGCCCTGTTTTGTTCCACATATGAGCCAGTGATTCCTTTATTGGTTATTTACCCAAAGAAAAAAGGACCATTAATTCAAAGAGATACGTGCACCCCTACGTGTGTAGCAGCTTCGCTCACAATGGCCACATCATGGAAGCAGCCCGGGCGTCCGTCCATGGACGAGTGGATAAAGAGGTGGTGTAGACGTGAAGTGGAGCATTACTCAGCCGTAAAAGAATGAGATCTTTGATGAGTTTACTCTTACGTGGGATTTAAAGAGTATGATTTCACTCATATGCGGAATTTAAGAACTTCAGTGACTTTTCAGTGTCCCCTCACATGGATCCACCACGGTTTACCTGCCCATTGCCCTGTGGTTGGACATGTAGACTGTTCCGTGTTTTCCATATTATGAATATTATGGCAAGTAGGAGAAATCACTTCCCCTTCTGGAGGGTGCCTCCCACCGCAGTACCAGTGCTGGCCTTTTTCTGGGGTGATGATGTACCTAGTAGGTATGTTTGGGTTGGGGGCTGGGGCTGGTGGTTCATGCCTCCTCCCCAGAGCTCCTGTTGCCAGAGGGCAGGCTCTTACCCCAGCGGCTGGGAGGGGAGACCTGTGACGGGGCAGGTGACCGTCTGCCTTGGGGTCAGTATTATAATGGAAGGTACTGAGGCTAAATCTCTAAGGTTTGCTCTCTAACCGCCTCGGCGCACATTTTGATTCTTGTGTATCTGTGCCCTATTATGATTCTCTCCTTTTGTCTCTTTGTCTAACTTACAGAATTGGGATTTGGTGGTTGACGTTAATATATTTTAGGTCTTTTGATGCAATTTCCATATTCTTCGCTAAAATGTTGGTACCAGTGTCGATTCCTAGCAGCAGAGATGAGAGTAATGATTATCTTCGGAAGCTTAACTTTTCTTTCAAATATACATATATAGTGTGGTTATAGATACATATTTCTGTTTAATATGTAAAAAAAATACGTGGAGTGGGATTTTAGATATGTATTTATATTTAATATATTACGTATATATTAAATTTTATATTACTGAGTTATAAATATATATATAAATTATATAAAACATGCATCTCAAAAACTTAATTTTACCCAGAATAAATATTAGAAATGGAAGGGGAGAGTCATAACACCATTCACCTAGTTCTAAACCATCTGGGAGTCTCATTTGCAATAATGTTGGCCATTTTACCGATCTGAGAAGCAGTACTTTGTTCAGGAAAGAAAATTGGAGTCTTTAAAATATTTCATTTGTAGAAGTAAAGGAATGTGTTTATTAATTAATCAAGAAGATCAGAATGAACCCCAAAAATACCAGCTGGGCCCTCTCCAGGCTTCAGTGATGACCAGCAGTCATTGCCTTGAGAAGCCGGACTTTTTCACGGGTTACGGATGTAGAGGCTCCAGGGCAGGCAGTTTGAATCGTTTATTCTACACAGTGATTTCCAAGTTTTTATTAGGAATATGGTCACATCGTAGATAACCCACTTTTTGGCATAGATTTGGCATAAAGTGAACCAAGGCCCCACCATCCTTTGGGGACGTCTGAGAGCACGGGACCCACCTCGGCCTCAGTACTGCGTGAAGTTGGCCGTGATGTGCTCATGGTCGCGGGGGGTGTAGTCGGCAACTCCTGGAAACAAGCAGAGAGGAGCAGGGGTGAGCAGGGTGGCTCCCAGGCCCGGGCTCAGCCCCTTGCTGGAGGCGTCAAGTCCACGGCCCGGCCGGGCTTGGGGTGCCGGGTTTGCAGCCTGGGAGCTGCCACGGGGAGCGCGGCCTTGCACGAGCCCTTGGGTGGCGAGGCGTCTCCCCCGAAGTTCCCCAGGACCATCTCCTTGGAAGAAACCTTTCAGGCTTATTAGGGGTGATGACTGGCGGATGCCCAGCGCGCACCTGGCCGCAGGTGAGTGTGCGCGCCGGCCGCTGACCTGAGCCAACCTTAGGATGCTGAGGTTGGAGCTCGGGCGCAAAAGCGTTGCCCGAATCGAGGAAGGGCAGTGGGTGGAGAACCTCGTGTTCCAGGGCAGGAAAGCCAGCTGGTGGCAGCCCCGGCCACTCGCTCTCAGGTCGCCAGGCATCGGAAGGCATGACCCCAGGTCCGATCTCCTGGGATCTCCGAGGCCTTTCTGTTGACCATCCTCTCCCCGGAGAAGAGCAGAAGAGCGGCAGTTGGCTGACGGGAGAACAATCCCGATCTCGGGTCCCAAGGCAGCTCCTGAGAACCTACTAACATTCAGCAGTTTTTGAAGACACTGCACTTACTCATTTTAAACATGTTATTTCTAAAATTTCTTACCAACCCAAGGAATGGCCACTCCTGTCTCCGTTTACAGCTCTAGAAACCGGTTCCGAGAAGACTCAGCCCTCGCCGGAAGCAGCCAGCAAGCGAGAGCCGGGGCTTCTAACCAAGCCTCTGTCCCTCAAGACTTGTCTTAGGCCGCGCTGCCGCTCCACGAGCCCCGCCCGGCCCGGTCTCCGAAATGGGCTCCGAAATGCCCGACGGGTGAGAAGACACATCTCTGTGGTCATCTCGGGTAACGACGCGCCTCTGCGGAGCCACAGCCTCAGCTCTGCTGCCACCTCCCGTGGCTTCACGTCTCCCTGCACGGGGACAGCTACGCCCTTGGCTAGGTGACACCATCCTTGGACAAAGCCACACGCAGGCCTCTTTAACTCGGAGATTTTCGTGTTTGTGCAAAATGTCAAAGTATGTTCAGGTCTTGCCGAGGTCTGAATTCTATCCCTGCCCCTTTCCGCACCCGGACACGCATCGACATCCTCCTCTTGGGAGATTTTACAGCCACGGCAGAGCAGGAAGAAGAGTGAAGGCCGAGTGAAGCCCACGCGTGCTGCAGTTGGGCCGACGGCGTGCGGTCGCTGCTCGCTCCGTCCCACGCTAGAGGCAGGGCTTGCACGAGCCCCCTTGACACTCCAAGACTTGGTTTCTTTCCCGGTAAAGACAGAGTCACCAACACCTACGGAGCTGACGTGTGAAGTAGGACCGCACCACCCCACAAGAGCCGTGCTCCCGCCCCTGGCGCTCGGGGCCACTGGCACGACGGCCCTGCGCTTTGGTTGGATCCCAACGGGCCCATCTTCTTGGATCACATACTGCTTTTTCTACCTTTTTATTTTTTGTCTCTGACATTATCTGCTTTTTCCTTTTTCAGCTCTTATTGCTCTAAGTAGGTCAATCCACGTTTCTTGGTCGCTGCATGTGTCCCCATCGGCTCAGAGTGGAGTCAGGATTCCTGATTTTTTTTTTTTTTTAGGATTCCTGATTTTTGAAAAAGCTATTTTAGACAGCCAGCCACCTGTCCTATCTCTTATCTATCTATCTGCCCAAGATCTATCGTTCAATCGAATCTCTGTATGTATCATGATGATATATATGCGAGCGTACACGTGTTGTCACCGTATACACACGTATCATATATATATACCTACAACCTCACAATTATTTACTGATTAAATGAATGAATTAATTAAATATGGAAATGAAGGAAAGTAGCCTTCAGACTTTGGAAGAAAGTCCCAGATCCCTTTCCTTTACTCACCTTCATTCAAAGGTGTTTTGCCACTCAGGAATTGCCAGTAGGTCCTGTCATGGACACTTTCAGCAATATTGTTGATAGAGGACACGACAAGGCCCCAGGATGTCATCGTGGTTACAAATCTGTAAGAATAAAATAATGTGTGATTAATCTCAATTAGGTCAGGCAATAAGGGGTTAAGGTGAAGGGACAGTGATATTCTAAATGTTTTAGAGAGCGAATAAAACCATGCTCAAAGGAGAAATTGCAAATGATTAATGAATATCAAATTCACTTGAAATTAAATGAAATTAAAATGAATGGAGTTTAAAAAAACTATCAATATGCAAATTTTTTAAAACATAAATGGCCAACAATGAGTGAGTACTTATATGAGTGAGGACGGAATGAATATCCGAGGTTGAACTTTTTTTTCTTTGCAAGTTACAAAACTGTACTTTTCACTAATTTTAAGTGACATTAAAAATACATGTGCAATAATTGTTACGTGAAAATGTGGGACACAAATTTGACGCGAAGCAACCATCCCGTCCGTGTGAGGGATCACGTCTGTAATATGCACAGAAAAGACACCTACGAAACTATAAAGAGATGTCAGCAGTGATTACATTGTGCATGTGCTGTAGATGCTTTGTTTTGTTCTTTTAAAAAAAAGTCATTTAAATTCAGTTAATTAACATGTAGCGTAGTATGAGTTTCAGAGGTGCTTTGTTTTGTTCTTTATGCATCACCCCTCCGGGCGTCTGCTGTATGAATTTATGACATTCACAGTCAGGGAAAGAAAAACGAGGCACAATTAGAGCTCAGCTCAGAGAAGTAAGGTAATGGCCAGAGGGTATTTGAAAACTAAGTATTATTGAAATGCAAAAAAAAAAAAAAAAAAGGATTCTTGAAATGCAAAAAAAAAGGATTCTTGAAATGCAAAAAAAAGGATTCTTGAAATGCAAAAAAAAGGATTCTTGAAATGCAAAAAAAAAGTATTCTTAAAATGCAACTCTTACCCTGACCTGCGTTATAGGGGCCGTGGACGGACACGAAGTCCTGAACCTAGGCCAGTGGGATGGATTCCACGCGCCCCCAGTTGCCCCGTCCTTGGGCTGGGCCGGTCTTTCTCCTGGCATCTCCCTGCAGGTTTGGCTCCTGCCGTCTTTCCTTTGCAAGGCGAAGGCCCTCCTCCTCCTTCCAGGACCTGGCAGCTCCTGTGACCTTTGTCGTCTCCATATTTCTCTACTGCTTCCTCTTTTTTTTTTTTGCAAACTAGAAACACATCCCAAGGGTTGATTTTTATCTCCTGAGATTCATTTCTGTCTTCTACCCTTTTCCGACAGGGCAGTGGAAGGAACATGAGCTTCACGGTCAAGTCTGGGTTCAGATCTCAGCTCTTACCAGTTTCAAGCCTTGTGGTCTTAGGAACGTCACTTAGCCTCGGGGGCCTACGTGGTGCTATCTGTAAAGTGGGCGTACAGATCTGTCTCACGTTTTGTTTTGTTTTTAAAGGAGGCGCTCCCCCAACGTGGGGCGCGAAGTCACCATCCCAGGCCCGCGGGCCGCATGCTCTGCTGAACCAGGCAGGTGCCCGGGACTCAGGACTTGGGTGGGAGCTTGTCCTGCTACCTCTGCGTGGTTCAACTTGGGTCATCACCTGGATCACATGACCATCCCACCTCTTTTCCCAGGCCTGACCTCTTTCTAGGCCTTCATCTAAACATCCCAAACCTCCCTAGTGTTTCCCCACAATTAGACCTGTCTACAGGAATTGAATCTTTTCTCTGAAAGACAGTCTTTCCTCCTGACATTCCTACGGAGAGTCTGGAAGCTCTTGCCGCCCCGCCAGCCCCGAATCCAGCGCTCGTAGAGCCTGTGGCGTCTTCCTGGGCGTGAGTCCATTTACCACAGATGGAGTCTCCGTCGCCCCACAGATTTGTCACCACAGGCAAGCCCCAGCTCTCCTCCTTGTCTCCCACTCCCGAACCAATGAGCGTTTTACAACACGACATTTCTTGCTTAAAAACTTGTAACACGTTTCTATAGTGGGGAGGGCAGATTCCTTGGCCTGGTTTTTCAGGCTTTTCCGATAGCGCCCAGCCTGTCCTTCCAGACGTGCCCCGCTTGATGCAGTCCCGTAGTCTCTTCCCTCGTCACACGGGCCACTCACGGACCCCAGAGTCCTTGCTTATTCCTGTCGCGAATGCTTCATTCCAGCCAATCCCTCTTCCTAGAGCGTCATCTTCCACTATCGTCCCGCGGGACTTCTTCTTCGTGAGCTTTCCAGGGCTGCGAGCCTTCCTGGACTACCCTAATCCACAGTGGCCTCCCCTTGGAATCCCTGTCCGTAAGACTCCATCCTAGGTTGACTTGTGTGATTGTATTGTTCCTGACGGCCTGGCCAGTTACTACACTGCAGGCCTTTCGAGGGGCCATGACGTGAAGATCTAAGTCACCAGAAGGGGGAAAAGAAGAAAATGAAGGAAGGAGGAGGAGGAGGAGAATTCACATGGGGCCCGGGGGGAATGGTGAACGCGGCTTGCAGCACTCACTTGAACATGGGATTTCTGCGTTGTGCTTCCTCTAGGACAACAAGGAGCACGGATCCATCCTTCACGCTAACATCGATGGTTTCATTGAAGACCAGCTCCACCCCCTTCAGCTGGTTATTTATGGTGTACGCGACGGTGATGTTGGATGCCGAGGTGGGAACGGGGCTGGGTTGACTGGGGAGAGTGGGTTGCACTTGATGACCTGTGGACAGCCAAGAGGCCAGATTAAAGATCATGGGGCTTGAATTATGGGTGCAAAACCTCTGTTATTGACAACTCATCCTAAAAAAAAAAAAATTTTAAAAAAATTTAAGAAATGGCAGTGATTTTGTGTCCTTTCTGGGTTGTTCTGAGGCACTGGTGTGATCTCTGAAGCTCCCACTTCCGTTCTAGAGAATCGTTCATAGCTGAAGAGCCGACAGCTAGTCTTATAGTGAACATTAGTTTTTGTCAAAAGAATTTATAACCAGAAGGGAGGACTGTTAACCGCACGTTGTGCATTTTGCATGATTGAGTTCTGTTGAGTTGGGGGCTTTTTCAGCAACACTGTGAACCTGGAAGCAAAAGGTAGTAGATTTCAGACCATTTAGCAGAACACTGGGGGCCTCTATGGTGTAGGATCCTAGGAGAGACTCCAGGGCCACCTCGTCAAGGTTGGGAAATCACCGGGCGGCAGCCCGAGGAGGCAGGTGGACGTGGCCGTGTCTGATGTGGTTGGGACCGGGGTGCTTGATCGCGGCCTCTGTAGATCGTGGGCTGAGATAGACGAGGAGCCCAGCCCTCTGCTCGCCTCGAGAAGACCACGCACCCTAAGGTGAACCGTACTTTATACTAGAAAGAAGGGTGTGAGGTGTCTTTACCAAAGACTCGTGACCTCTGGAGCAAGGATATGCGTATGCAGGACTCCCACTTTCTTTGTACGCGTTTCTGCAAAGTTACGTGTCCCTGTATTCTACTTTTAATTGGATAAAATAGAGATATTTAAAATAAAAAGCTACTGTGCCAGCTTTCCACCCCATTCCTTCGGTGTGCCAGGAGCACCGAGGCTTTGTATCCAGATCTCCAAGTCTAGGCTTCAATGCCAGCCCTGTTCTCTGGTCTCTCAGACCCGGCTTTCTTTGCTTTGTGCGGCTTCCATTTATATTTAATACTTATTTCATTCTTCCAAATGTTGTTGGTTTTGTTTTTTTTGTTTTGTTTTGTTTTGTTTTTTGTTTTTTTGGTTTTTTTTTTTTTTTTTCTACATATTTGTCTCCCGACCTTGTAAAGAGCAGATATAAGGCACAGAATAATGTTTAGTGCATCGGCCAGGTAAATGAATAAAGTTATATATCATCTGATTGTTAGGACCATGGACACTCCCTCTTCACCAGCACCTCACATGATGCTCTACCTATAGTAGGTGCTCACTTAATACGTACTGAGTGACGTGCTGAGTGGGGCTGAATTCTGAGGGTGGGTGTGTGAGCACGCACCGCCCGGGGGTTGGATATCGGCTGTGGCTCTGCCTACGTAACAAGCCCACATACCACTCAAAGTCGATGCATATATTATCACTGGCATAAGTTGCCACTTATGACGTAAGGAAAGGCAGAGATGAAGAGTCCTTACCAGGGCTGCAGGACACATAGGGCACATCCAGGTATGTCTTGCCTTTCAGGGAAGGAAGGATTTGGGCAATGGACATGGGATTGTGGAACTTCCCCTGCTCAATCTCCTTAAGTATCGTGTCCATGGTCTTCTTGCAGTCCCACTCCTTCTTAGGTGGCTCAGGTGTCACAGAGAGAGCCTGGGACCGGAGAGACAGAGAGATTAGGCACAGCTAAGAGTTGGCCTTTAGAAGCTTTCCCAGAGACGTGCTTGATCACCGGTCTCGGGGACCACCCAGGGTCCAAACCTGAGCTGCCCAGGGTCTGGGATGTCTGTCGTGCTCGCTGCTGCATCCCCTCCTCTTAGCTCAGGGCCTGTCACACAGCAGTCACACAACTATCCGCGATGGTGTTCCCCAAGTCTGATTGCCGCACAGATACCTGTTGGACCACTATCAGGGCTGCTGCATTTACGGCACGTGCAGGTAGAGCGAAGGTAAGAGCCAGCATGGCTCACACGCTCCGGGGCCTGTGTGAGTCTGGGACGGCCTGGCCATCTGAGCCGAGGACAGCTCTCCTGCTTCGGGTTGTGCGGTGCACCCTTGGGTGGACTCCTTCCATACTTTGTGATCATGTCAGGAGCGTCAGTCTGGCCACAGGGAGGACTCACAGCCGGGCTGGGCTAATCATAGAGTAATCATGATCCTTTTGGTGGGCACCCTACTAGCCAGCGCCTTCCCTGATATACGGCCATTCAGGGAGGGAAGGATTTCCTTCTCTCCTGCTGGGGACCATGTAAGTAAGCACTGGGCCATAATGGCCATCTTCCTCAGTCACTCTGAAGGAGCCCTGCAGTAGGAGACAGTGAGGAAAACCAGGGCTGGGCAACGAAAAAAAGAGTAGTGCTTGAAACACATAATTTGAGTCCTTTATTCAGGTTCATCCTGAAACTTAATCTAGCCCTGGACCCTCTAGTTGATGTGAAATAGTAAATCCCCATTTTTTTTTTAATCTCAAGCAAAGATTATCTGGGTTTCTGTTATTTGCAAAATGATTCTTCATTAATGCACCAAGTAATTCATTCTACTTTGCTGAGTTTTGTATCGCAAGGGTAAGATAGAAATCAGCATTCCCGCTTGCCTTTGGGGGTTCATCTGAGGTCCAGATGTGGGACGATAAGCAAGAGCATCTTGTAACGTGTGGTACGTGCAATCTCGTCACCACCTCCCTCCCTTTGGGGTTGTGCTGACCACGACCCTCAGTGTATGTCAATGGTTTGAGGTGGCTGGTGACTGACTCGCCTGAAGCTTGGAATAGGAAACGAGAGAAGTGAGAGTAGAGTCAGAAACCAATCAGATTCCTTTCCTAGGAACATCGAAAGCTCTGGAATATTGACAGAAGGAAGAGAAGAAATTCTGGGACAGGGGAAGTGCCTCATGAGTGCGCGGCCAGAGCACTTGAAGGGCACTGACGTCTTGGAGGAGGATGAGTGACTGAAGGCTGAAGAGCAAGCTTCATATCACCACTCTTGAGCTGGGAGAGACCATGAGAGCTACTGAGCATCACATTTGTGCTTATGATTAAAAAAAACAAAACAAAAAAAAAAACCTTTGCAACCATGCTTTTATGGGGGAAAGTGAAATTCAGAGAAATTCAATATTTGCCCACAGGGTGGCAGATCTGGGATTCAAACTCGAGTGGTGACCTCTCCAGAGCCCTTTACTTCTCGACAGCAGGATGTTTTAATTTAGAAACAAGTTGACGGGATGAGCACTGGGTATCGTTCTATATGTTGGCAAATTGAACGCCAATAAAAAATAAATTTATAAAAACTTAAAAAAAAATTAGAAACAAGTTACGCGTTAGGTATCTGGTGATTTCAGACGTCAGGCTGCGTGGGTCTACTCTAGCCGTGTGCCGTGACTCCCGTGGGGAGAGGTTACGTGTCCTAACTGATGAGCGAGCCACGTGACCTGTGATATCTGCATAAGGATGAGATCTTGCCTTTTCATAAGTAAAGCTTTATTTCTTAGGTACAGCTTATCAGAATGTACCCGGTGGCTGATAAAATCCCAAACGGAATTCACAAACCAAACAAAAGCAAACATTTCTCTGTCTGGCACTAAGGGGAAGCAGGTTTAAGCGAGTCAGAGATAAAGCCCATCTCCTACCCCTTCCTGTCTGCCTCTGATACTCCACAGGGCTCCCAAGACCCGGGCCCCGGGGTTGCTCTTGGGTGAATCAGCGACGGTGACAGTCCATTGCCCCACGGCAAGACTCCATTCACCGCGACGTGACACAGAGGCTGCTTTGTTCTCATTAGCTGCTTCCTACTTTGGAATTTTTTTTTTTTAATTTACCTTTATGTTTAACATAAACTGATTTCTAGTCTGTTTTTGTCCTTTGCTAATTTCTACCATGTGGAGCATCAGGGCCAACGTCTGCTCCTTCCCCCAACAAGATTTCTTTCTACCACTTGCCCAGAGTTATACTGGATTTAGAGCTGGCATCATAATTCCATGGTTCTCTGTTTCCTGGGCTTTCTGAGTTAAGAGGGTCATGATGTAGCTTTTCTATTAACTGCATTAGGCATTTTGAGACTTTGGAGCATAAACTTCTCAGTTTGGACTAGAGGATTTGGCCACAGATGACCCTTTAATTTCTGATTCTAGCTGTTCATCTCTCCCCACTATCATTAGCCTATCTTTATTGAAAGGGGCTGCCCTAATCAACCCCAATCAATGATCAACCCCAATCAGTGGGGTGGGGATTGCATCTGGAGATATAACAAGCAGCCTCTTACAGAATCCAGGTCTGAGAATCTGTACAAGGAACACATTGAGTATAGGACGTGGGTACAGACACACCTGGCTCTGCCATTTAGAGCACTGTGTGAGGTTGAAATGAGATAGAGATTGTACAAGAGCTTGACAAGTCAGCTTTAGGTTATTTTCACTAATCAGCCTAAATACAAGCCCACATTTTCTTGATCAAGATAAAGGTCTGGCAAGATGGAATCAGAAAATTCCATTTTTTGAGGAATAAATATAATATCCTTTTTTATACATCAAATTTTAATATCCTTATTTTTATACATCAAATTTTCATCAATTTATAATTATTATGAACAAACTGATCATTATCAAAAAAATTTCGATCATTATCATGATCAGAATTTTAATATCCTTTTTAATATCTTTATTAAGATATCTTTTAATATCCTTATTTTTGATACATCAAATTTTCATCAATTTATAATTATTATGAACAAACTGATCATTTTCAGTTTTAATATCCTTATTTTTTTATACATCAGATTAATATCTTTTAATTTCCTTATTTTTTATACATCAAATTTTCATCAATTTATGATTATTATGAACAAACTGATCATCATCAAAAAAATTTCGATCAAATTTTCATGATCAAATTTTCATGGTCAAAATTTTAATATCCTTTTTTAAAATCTTTATTAAAAGACATCTTTTAATATCCTTATTTTTTATACATCAAATTTTCATCAATCTATAATTATTATGAACAAACTGATCATTATCAAAAAAATTTTGATCATTATCATGACCAAAAAAAAAAAAAAACCAATATGTTTCTAGGATTTATTCATTTTTTTCTGAGAAAGAGAAAAGAATTCATGTAGTTTTATTTTCATACTTTACCTAGGAGTAGGGAGGAATTAACACCTGCTTTTTAGGGATCCCTGGGGGGCACAGCGGTTTGGCGCCTGCCTTTGGCCCAGGGCGCGATCCTGGAGACCCGGGATCGAATCCCACGTCGGGCTCCCTGCATGGAGCCTGCTTCTCCCTTTGCCTGTGTCTCTGCCTCTCTCTCTGTCTCTCTGTGACTATCATAAATAAATAAAAATTATAAAAAAAAAACTCTGCTTTTTACCAGTAGAGAAACCGAGACAAATACAAGGAATCTATCTCAAGTCACACTAGCTGGTCTTTCCTGGAGACATTAGGAGAAGCGTGGGCTCCTGACCCTACGATCCAGTCTCACGGCGCGGGTGGGGACCCAACAAAGAGCAGGGGCGACGCGTTTACCTGCATGGCGAGGCCGGTACTGTAGACGTCTCCGATGATGCCATTGTCTTTGATCCTCATGCTGATGTTCTCCACGACATCCTTTAGTACCTGACTGAACAGAGTTCTGTAACCTTCCTCTGAACCTTCCGGGATCTTGTTGTACATACAAGTCAGAGCCAAAGTCACCATGGCTCCTGTGTCTGTGAAGCAGGGGCAGGGGTGGGTGGGTGAGACAACCGCCACCGCACGACACCAACCACTAACATCTACCGTGTGCTTCCTGCGTTCCGGCTACACTATCTCCTTTACTCTTCAGGAAGACCTGTAAATAGGACCTACTATTACCTCCACTGAAGGGATGAGGAAATGGAGGCTCAGGGAAGCCAAGTGATGGCCCGCGGCCCCCCAGCTGGTAAGTAGCCGTGCCAGGGCCTGAACCCAGATCTAGATGGCTCCGGGGCCCATCCTTTCAATTAATGTCGACCGGCACCGGATTCGATCTCATTGCTTTCGTCCCAGTGTTTATCTTTTCAAAATGTCGCCTGTTCTTGAAAGCCCAGCTGTCACTACCTCTCGGTGGTGACGCCTTCGCTGGTCTGCCCAGCGCCACGGTGCAGTCTCTTTTTTTCAACTTTTTAATTTTTTTAACTTGGCTCCATGCTGGGCTCGAACTCATGACCCTGAGATCAAGACCCAAGCTGAGATCAAGAGTCAGACGCTTAACGGACTGAGCCACCCAGGTGCCCCTCGTTTCTCAACTTTTTAGCAGGTGTTGCTTGGACCTGTTTGGCAATCTCAGCACTTGCTGCTGTTTTGTTGTTACTGTGCTCCGTGAGCTCCTGGGTGGGGGGAACTCTGCACCCCCCCCAGCACCCAGCACGGGGCCGTTTTCATTATTTCACGGGAAAGTGTATGTGGGCTGAACGAGCAAGCTCTGGACAAGACAGAAGAAATGCAAGAGTTGCCAGATGGCTTCTTTCGCTGAGCTTCCCCTCCTCACGGTAACCTCCTCCCGAAGTTTGTGCAACCCCGTCAAGGATGACAGTGGTGTTGCGACCGTCGTCGGCCAAGGAGTCAAATCTCCTGAACTGACAGCCTAGGAATGCGTGAGGTCCCCGACGGAACACCAAGGCCCGTGAGCTCCTGACCCGGAGGGAGCCTGCAGGAGTCCTTGCCTCCTGGTCTGAGAAAGCCTCCAAGGACAGAGTCCTGAGATGCAGCAGCTGCTGAGGCTGCGCGGGAGCGGGGAAGACCTCGATCCAGAGAGCGAGAGGAGAAAAGGCGGCCAGGAGCGGGGGGCCCGGGAGAGCGTCCTCCAGAGGAGGCACCCTTGTCTGCACAGGGCGCACAGGGCGCACAGGGCGGGCCGTGGGCCCGGGGAGGAGCTCCGCGCACAGAGCCCAGCACGGGAGGATGAGGAAACACCATGGCTCTGGCGTCTCCTTGGAGGGGGAGCATCGCGCCGTTGGGGCCCGGAGGGTCTGTTTACTAGAGACACTGTCGGGCTGTTCGAAGGAGAAACCGAGAACAGAGAATGAAATCGGTGGTAGTGCTAAAGGGGAAGGTCCGGGGCGCCGGGTGGCTCAGGCGGTTGGGCGGCTGACTCTTGGCTCCGACCCAGGTCATGACCTCGGAGCTGAGACGGAGCCCTCAGTGGGCTGCACGCCCAGCGTGAAGTCAGCCCGAGGTTCTCTCTCCCTGCGCACGTGTGCTCTCTGTGTCTCTGTCTCTCTGTCTCTGTCTCTCTGCCTCTGTCTCTGTGTCTCTCTGTCTCTGTGTCTCTGTCTCTCTGCCTCTGTGTCTCTGTCTCTGTCTCTCTGCCTCTGTCTCTCTGTCTCTCTGCCTCTGTGTCTCTGTGTCTCTGCCTCTGTGTCTCTGTCTCTCTGCCTCTGTCTCTCTGCCTCTGTCTCTCTGTCTCTCTGTCTCTGTGTCTCTGCCTCTGTATCTCTGTGTCTCTGTCTCTCTGCCTCTGTGTCTCTGTCTCTCTGCCTCTGTCTCTCTGTCTCTGTGTCTCTGTGTCTCTGCCTCTGTGTCTCTGTCTCTCTGCCATTGTCTCTCTGCCTCTGTCTCTGCCTCTATCTCTCTGTCTCTGTGTCTCTGCCTGTGTCTCTCTGCCTCTCTCGAATAAATAAACAAATCTTTAAAAGAGAAGAGAGGGCAGCCCAGGTGGATCAGTGGTTTAGCGCCGCCTTCAGCCCAGGGCCTGATCCTGGGGACCCGGGATCGAGTCCCGCGTTGGGCTCCCTGCATGGAGCCTGCTTCTCCCTCTGCCTATCTCTCTCTCTCTCTCTCTCGTAAATAAATAAAATATTTAAAAATAAATAAATAAAAATAAAGAGAGAAGAGAGAGCACTCAGGGAGGGGCTGAGTCTAGACATGGATTCAATTCTTTACGAATTTGCCGGGAGAAACTGCTGACTTGGGAGCCTTAGCGCCCCCAGGGGAGGCTCCGTCATTCCATCGGTTCCCCTGTGTCCCTTTCACTTATTCCCTAATCACGTCTCCGACAGTATTCGCCGAAGGCCTCCCACCCGCAGACGTTTCCAGGCCCTTGGCTCCTCCTCCACGGGAGCCTCCCCCCTCCCCCCGCAGCCCCCCTCCCTCCCGTCCTTGGGTTCCCAGCTCTGGGCACGCCTGCAGGTGGCCGCCAACTCACCCGTATTGAAGGGGGAGAGGCCGGCTGCCAGGATCTTGGCCAGGCGGGCTGCCACGGGCAGGGCCCTCCCCGGGTGCTCCTGGCACAGGGCGAGCACCGCCAGGCTGGGCCCGTAGAAGGTCAAAGCCGGAGCACCGGGGCCTGGGAAGGGGACAGAGGGTCTCTGTAAGACGAACATTCACCATCGTGAGTACCTTCATGAAAAAGGTAAAAGTCAAACCTTTAAATAGAAATTTCTAGAGAAACCCATCCAAAAAAAAAAAAAAAAGAAAAAGAAAAGAAAGGCTCCACGTTGGCAAAAGTAACGTCAAGCTCCCCAGAATAAGAATGTCCCCCGGCGGCGCCGGGGGAGGCCGTGGTGGGGGTCCTCGGGTGGGGGCGGTAAGTCTACGTCCCTGGGGTGTGGTTTTCTCTGGTTCATTTGGAATCAGAGCGAGTAACCCCACGTGGGATTATCTGAGGGTCCCGCGTGCAGTGACTCTCCGGTCACCCTGCTTTTTCTTTCTAGGCTTAACGTGCTCAGGAAGGCCTCTGCCTCAGTCTCCCCTCTCCTCCGATGAGGTCGTACTCGAAGGTGGCCAGGCTTCCATCTGTCCATATAGAACCGACACTTTATTCCCGGGGTCTCGGCAGGAGGAGTTGAGGGCCATGATGGTGAGGGCCAGCTGGCCGACGCTCAGCCCTGCGGAGGGGAGAACGAAACGGTCACGAGGACACTCCCGGAGGACGCTGCGCCGGGGGCCAGGGCGGAGCTCCCTGCTTCTTGTCCAGATCATTCTGATTTTTTTAATGATGTGATTAGATAATTTTTTTAGAAATATTTTTAAGTCATTGCTCCACCCATCATGGGACTTGAACTCACAACCCGGAGATCAAGAGCCCCATGGTGCCCCCACTGAGCCGGCCAGATGCCCCTAGATGGTTTGTTTTTTTTTTTTATTTTGTTTTTCTTAAGGAAAGGAGTATGGGAAAACGCTCGACCACTGCTGAGCAAGCACCGTGTGACCCGACAGCTTCACCGGGGATCCCTGGTGTCTACTTGGAAGAGCGGCAGGGACGCCTATGCAGGTTCATTCCTGAAAGTAATTTTCACTTTATTACCTAACTGGATCCTGGGAGGCACGCAGAATAGAGGATTTATTATTATTATCGTTGTTATTATTACGGCTGTGTCCTTGTTGTTAGAGTCACCCGGTTAGGGGAGGAAGCCAGGGGGCCGCGCACCTGCTCACCGGGCACCTGGCCCACGGCCTCCTGCGCGGCCCGGCTCTGCAGGTGCTCTGGCCCCCGCGCTCCCCTTCAGGTGCACAGGGAGGGGGTTTGGGTGCTTCGGCTCCGCTCGCGGGGTCCCGGGGGGGCGCACCCGGGGGGCCCTGGCTTCTCACCGGCCGAGTCGCCGGCCCCGAGCCTGTCGGCCAGCAGCTCGCGGGCCTCCGCGCTGAGGGCCCCGGCCAGGTTCATGGCGATCAGGACGCTGGGGTTCGGGGGCGCCGCGCTGCTCACGGAGTCCTCCAGGAGCACCTGCAAGCCATCCACCAGGTGCTGCGCCGCCTGGGGAACGGCTGGGAAGAGAAAAGCCGCGAGCTAAACCCGGTCCTCTCCCTCATCGCAGAAGCGCGCTTCTCGGGCTTCTCCCTGCCGGAGGACGGTGTTCCCGGGGCACCCTCTGCCGGGGAGACTATCAGGGACACATGCAGGAAACATGGAGATGGTCTGTTGAGGCCAATTAGACTCCACATCTTCGCAAATGACCCTCATCCTTAACGGAGTGATTTCTCACTTAGTTCAAGCCCTGTGGCTCACGGACATTGCATATTCCTTCTAGCACATTCCTAGAAATCACGGATTTCTTTGCATTTTTTCTCACTCTTCTTTTTTTTAAGTCATTTCTTTTTGGGGCGCCTGGGTGGTGTCGTCCGTGAAGCCTCTAACTCTTGGTTTCGGCTCAGGTCTTGATCTCGGGGCCCTGGGATGGAGCCCTGAGTCCAGCTCTGTGCTCAGCATGGAGTGTACTTGGGGTTTTCTCTCTCCCTCTGTCCCCCCCTGCCCCCATTCTCTAAGATAAATTAATCTTAAAACATATAAAGTTATTTCTTTTTTTGCTTTTTTAGGATTTTATTTATTTATTTATTTGTTTGTTTGTTTGTTTGTTTTTTATGAGAGAGGCCGTGCAAGTGCATGCACGAGCAGGAGAGGGACAAGCAGACTCCCTGCTGAACACAGAGCCCGACATGGGGCTTGATCCCACGACCCTGAGATTGTGACCTGAGCCAAAATCAAGAGTCAGACACTCAACGGACTGAGCCCCCCAGGTGCCTTCCCACACCTTTTTTTCTTTTTTAAATATTTTATTCTTAATTAATCTCTACACCCTACAAGGAGCTCGAACTCGTAATCCTGAGATCAAGAGTTGCATGTTCTTCCAACTGAGCCAGCCAGGCACCCCCCTCCGTCTTACCTGAAAAACACAGAAAACGGGGTCTGACCTGTCCTCGGTGGCTACCACCATCCCCCCTCGCAGCGGCCCGTGGTCGGGCAGCTCTGAGCGTCTCGGTGCCACCAGCCATCGTCCCTGCACCAGTATTTAAATCCCTCTTAAGGGAAAACGCGCAGACCTGCCTCCAAAATCTCCTGCCCTTTGGCCAGGAAGGATGAAGCACACGCTCACCCCGACTCACGCCGTTGGAACCCCTGCAGGGATGGCTGTTCCCCATCACTTTCCCCGCAACAGACCCCCGGGAGCTGCTCCTGTGACCTCTCTGGAAGCAACGACGTACTCACAGCACGAGCTTCGGGCCCAGGTGCCGGTCCCCGCCGCCGCCCACAGGAGGTGCAGCAGGTGGAGGCTGAACCAGGCCATCTGCCTCTCTCGTCCTGTCCAAGGGTCCCGTGCGCTGATCCCTGTGCTTGAAAGTGGGGTGTTTCCTCTCCTGTCTCTTATATGTGCTTTTTGCAGAACAGTCTGCCCTCTTTCCCTTCCAGCCACTCCCAGCCCCTTACGCCGACCTCTCTCTCCGTCTCTAATTTCCATGTGCTTATCTGGATTCCCTCCTATAGATCCTCCAAGGTGCGTGAAGGTGACTTCTAGTGGCACAGTCTCTGGGGTGTCTCACCTGGGGTGAGCATGCGGGGAGGGCCGCGGTGACAGATCCCAACCTCCTGGTCTCTATCAGCTGCCACTTCACCGAGGCTTAGGCTTCAGCGTAGGCGTAGGCGTGAGGATCTGCCAGGTGAAGTTGGCCTCTAGGCAATGAATTCACTTACTGTGACCCGGGTCTTTAAGGTGGTTTGACTTCAGGCAAGCAATGGACCCGAGGTTCCCAGAAATTGTAATTTTTTTTTTTAAACTAGGCTCCAAGCCCAGCAGGGAGCCCAGTGCAGGGCTGGAACTCCCCACCCTGAGAGCAAGACCCGAGCCGCCATCGAGTCCGACGCTAAACCGACCTGAGCCACCTGCCCAGAGATTATTTTATTTCTCTCTCCTTATCTGGCGACAAAGCCGTTTCAAACACCCAGGGCTCTCAGGCATTATCTTTTAAAGTAAATAATTAGAAAATGTGGGATCAATGAACTCTATTAAATATTAAGTGTTGAAAAAATAAAAAATAAAATAGAATAATTATTTTTATTTTAAGTGTTTATAGATTTCAGAAATGCAGCTCTATTGCAGCAAAATGTGCCTCCTTATGATGTGCAGCTGGAAATAATGTCATGAGGTGATGAAGGGACGGGGTAATATTTTTTGTAAACCCCTGGATTCTTTTAGGGGGATGTTTTTCAGTGGCTCCCACCTTAATAGAATTCCAAGTCCTTTTTTTTTTTAATTAAAATTTATTTTTTATTGGTGTTCAATTTGCCAACATACAGAATAACCCCCAGGGCTCATCCCGTCAAGTGCCCCCCTCAGTGCCCGTCACCCAGTCACCCCCACCCCCCGCCCTCCTCCCCTAGCTCATTTCCCAGAGTTAGGAGTCTCTCATGTTCTGTCTCCCTTTCTGATATTTCCCACACATTTTTTCTCCTTTCCCCTTTATTCCCTGTCACTGTTATTTATATTCCCCAAATGAATGAGACCATATAATGTTTGTCCTTCGCCCACAAACTTATTTCCCTCAACATCCTACGCTCCAGGTCCCCCCAGTGGAAGCAAATGGTGGGTATTTGTCATTTCCAATGGCTGAGGAATATTCCATTGTATACAGAGACCACAGCTTCTTTTTAATGACAAAGCCCCGTAGGATGTGGCTCCTGGTTGGGCCCCAGGCCTGCTTCCTCCCTTGCTCCCTCTGCTTCTTCCAGCTGCCCCGGCCTCTTGCTCCCTGATCCCATCTCCTGCCCTTGCATTTGCCGCCCCGCTGCTCCCCCAGACCCCCGGGGAGGCCCCCCCTTCCTTCGTGTCCGCTTGAAGGCCACTTCCAGAGAGGTCATCTCAGGCCATCTCTGTCATGGGAAACACGGCCCTGTCCCCAGCTGCTCCGCCCCCACTCGCAAGGGGAAGGGCCTTTGTCTCCCCTTCGCTGTTTTACCTCCAGCTCCTGGGCCACCACCTGGTTCACAGCAGGGACAGAATAAATACTTTTTTGGATGAACAAATTAACAAGCATGTGTAAGACCTGGGTTATAAAGCATTTTTCTTTCTTCCGTGGAGGAGCGTTGGTGACCCTGTGGGGTGACGGTGCGGGTACTCCCTGGCCCCCGGTCGGGTCGTCGCCTCCTGGAGTCCCCTGCTCCGGGCTGTGGCTGGCCTCGCCTCTTGTGAATATAATACGGCAAAAGTCACGAGATAGGGTAGGAGACGGCCACCTTCCGTCTTGTTGGCTCTTGTTGCCGCTGGCTAATGTCCTTCCTCCAAGGTGAGGTGCCCACGGGCAGCCGACAAGGCGACAAGGCGAAGGCCTGGGAGCAGTTCCAGGCAACAGCCCGGCAGCGAGGGACCTGCCAACGACCTGGGCAGCCTCCCCCGCGGATGTCCCCAGGGGAGCTTTAGCCTGAAGCCTCGGCTGACGTCCCCATTGTGGCCTCATTGGGAGAGCTTGATCCACAGAAGCTGAGACACCATGTGTCTTGCTGCTCTAAGTCCTTACGTTTTGGGGTGACTTGCATTGTTGACTACATGTGGAGTCTGGCGGGAGATGAGGCCAGAAAGACGGTTGAGGGCTCCGGCCGCCCCACAAGGGAGCGAGGGCACAATAACGCCCTCCCCACCCCACGTCCACTCCCTAATCCCTGGAGCCCACGAGGCGGAAATAAGGTTGCTAATGAGCTGACTTTGACATAGACAATTTGGGGGATTATTGGGGTGGACCCACCATAGTCAGAGGTCCCTTTAAGCGGAAGAGGGAGAAAGGAGAGTAAGTCCGAGGAGGAGATGTGGGGATGGCAGTGGAGGTGGGGGTGGCACAAGCGCTGGCTCTGAAGGTAGAGGCACGTCGCCCTCCCCTAGAAGCTGGAGAAGGCCACGAAGCGGATTCCCCTCTAGAGCCCCTGGAAGGAACTCTGCCTTCTAGTGTCTCACGGGGACAAAATCAAGGTGTGTTGAAGGACCCCTTGATTTTATCCCCATGAGATCCGTCTCCGGCCTCCAGCCTCCAGGACTGTACCAGGATACGTTGGCCTAAAGCCAGGAAATCGGTGGTGAGCGGTTCCAGCAGCCGTGAGGATCTAACGCAGGATTAGGATCCCAGCGTGGTCCTGGCCTTGGGTTCGGAGCTGCCTGTGACCACCCTAAGATGCTCTGCAAGCGCACGCCTCTGTGCAGATGCCGCTCACGGCCATGGTTGGTGCAAGACCCATGATGATACAATTGTCCCGCTTAGCAAATAACTTCCCGAACAGGACACACATTTCTTAACTCCTATATTTTGACAGTCCTTGGCTAACTATCGACTGAACTTCTTCTTCTCCTTTTTTTTTTTTAATATTTATTCATTCATGAGAGACACAGAGACAGAGAGGCAGAGACACAAGAGGAGGGAGAAGCAGGCTCCATGCAAGGAGCCCGACGTGGGACTCGATCCTGGGACTCCAGGGTCACGCCCCGGGCTGAAGGCGGCGCTAAATCTCTGGGCCACCCGGGCTGCCCTCTTCTTCTCCTTTTTTCAAAAGAAGAGGGTGGGTGGTGGGGGGCAGTGGAAGGGAGAGGGTGGGAGAGAGCGAGGATCTTAAGCAGGCCCCAAGCTCAGTGCAGAGCTGGACCCCGGGCTTGATCTCACGACCCTGAGATCACAATCTGGACCAAAATTAAAGAGTCTGACGTTGAACCGAGTGAGCCACCGAGGTGCCCCTTGCCTGAAACATTAATTTATTTGCCTGTTTTATCATGTGCCTGGCTTTCTGATGTCCAAGCACCCAGACTCTCAGTGCATAAACCTCTCAGAGGTTTATCAGTGTTGACTGTGCTCTGCTATGGCAGCAGAAGGACGTTCTCCCCCAGACTCAGTCCTGGCTCTGTCACAGTCCTAGGCCTTAGGACCCGTAAGGCAGGGGTGGCCAGAGCAAGGGTCCCCCGGGCAGTGTCGGTGGCACCCTAAGGGAATGTCGCTCCATTTCCCTCGGGTCTGTCTCTGAGATTAAATGCATCCCTACCAGGGAGCAGTGTCACTGTTTTCTACCGTGGGGCCACTATTGGGAGAAACGTGGCTCTGTCTAGTAAGGACGGAGGCTCCAGGGGCTACGGGGACGTGTTAGAAACACACGGCGTAAGGGGAGTTGTTACGTCTGATCCAACGAGAGGGATTAAAGGAGAATGGCAGAGGAAAGGACTTCCTCAACGCTGTGATTGCGCGTCGTTGGTTCCACGGCGGTGTGCCCGGTAGAACAGCCTTACGCCACGTCTGGGAGAACAGGTCAAGTGCAAATTGTGCGCTTGACTGGTGCCGACGGCTTATTATTGAGAGAATAATAGCTGGAATCATCGAGGGAGTCAGGAATCTCAAAGGGAACTATTCCAACTTGGTTATTCTGAGATTCAACCTCATTGGTCCATTGCAAAAATGGGCTCAATCCTTTCTGTTATTTTTTTGCTTGAGCTTCCCTATTTTTCCTGATGGACAAAATCAACCATATGCACTGTTTTTTTTTGTTTGTTTGTTTGTTTTGTTTGTTTGTTTTCCAGGATATTGCCAGTATTTGATCTTTTTGAGTGTAATTTTCAACAGTTCGCTTTCACTCTTTAGAGAGTAGTGGTTGGAAGATGAGCTGTAGGGTCGCACTGTGTGAGAGTCAGGAATGGTGGTCATGACATTTTGCATATTTATATTTATTACCGTAAGCCGTTGTCCCCCAATTTCCCCCCAAGTGGGACCTTGAGTAACTTGTAGAGTCCGTCCAGGTCTGCCGGCTGCTGTGCAATGTGCACCGCACCCTGGAGATCCCCCCACCTCTAACTTAGCTTTCAGGATGAGAGACGCACCCGAGGGGATAGGATCCATTGCTGTCCAGCTGTGAGGGCATCTGTCACACCCGATTCATAAAGAATAGGGAGGAGTCGACCCTGAGGGTTGAGGATCAGGACCAGGGTTGTCGGTGGAGGAGGAGAAGCTAAGACGATCACCAAGGAAACATGGGAGCAATGAGGCCGACATTGATAAAATAATTTAACTAATTCTGCCTGAAGGCATCTTCCTTTTAGAGGTTGCTTTATTTAAGGATTTGATTGATTGATTGATTGATTGATTGATTATTTTAGAGAGAGTGTGTGTGCAAAGGGTGTAAGGAGCAAGGAGGGGACGGGAGAGGGAGAAGGGGAAAGATTCAGACCCGGTGTTCAGTGGGGAGCCCTCCATGAGGCTCAATCTCACATTTAACATTTAACTGAGCCACCCAGGCACATCTAATTTACTTTTACTTTTCATTTTTAGATTTATGTATTTATTTGAGAGAGAAAGAGAAAGAGAGTGTGAGCTGGGGGAGGGACGGGGAGTGATGGAGAGAGAGAATCTTCAGGCTCCCCCCTGAGCAAGGAGCCCAACCCTACTGATCCCAGGACCCGAAGATCAATGACCTGAGCCAAAACCAAGAGTCAGCTGGTAACGGGCTGAGCCACCAAGGCACCCCCAAGTGCCCCTGATTTAACATATTTTTTTTAAAATGTGAGTTCTACAGAAACAAACATCAAAGGTGATTTTTTTTCTGCATGTGCATTTTATGCACATGATGATATGAATATGAGTGATTTTTATGGGGAAGTAAAAGGAAAATACATGCGGGAGGAGAACAAATGGGCTCCAAGGGAGATAGCTGGAGGAGGGGACGATATTATTCCTGAGACTTTATGGACCGGCCTTTAATGTCGAAGCCTCCCTGTTCCTGTGTCTCCAGAGCAGCATTTTCCTCTGCCCACTGCCTCTCTGGGGTCCGTATGCCCACTCAGTTTGTCCCTCACACCTGGGCCTCAGACAGCTGTCTCCCTACAGATTTCCTGCTTGATCTCATTGGCTGCTGCCTCAACCCTAGATCTAGAACCTTATCTGCGTCCCCACCCGCTGCCCGAGGTCGCCCACACAGTCAGCAGTGGGACCTTGAGTAGAACCCAGCTTAGACACGTGGTCTGATCCCTTTCCCCTTCCCTCTTCCCACAGAGGTCTTCCCTCCATCATTGATCCCCTTTAAAATGAAACGACTAGAAATGCTCTTTTTGTATTGCCGTTGATCTTTTATTGAACACACTCGGAGAGGGGGAGGCTAGTGACCCCACTCTTGAAATTGAGATGAGTGAAAAGGAAGTCATGGAGCCAGTCTCCACCTGCAAGTCCACTGCAAAAGGATTCCATGCAGCTCAGGGAGATTTGAATTTTTTTTTTTTGAAGATTTGAATTTTAATACTTGCTCCAGCGAACCTCCAAATTCTCGCCTGCATGGACAACGTAACTACCAGCTCCTGAAAAGGAAGAATGAGAAGTGGGTCGAATGATTTTTTTTTTTAAGATTTATTTTAGAGAGAAACAGAGCATGAACAGGGTGAGGGGCAGATGGAGAGGGAGAGACTCTCAGGCACATTCCCCACTGAGCCTGGAGTCTTACACGGGGCTTGATCGCACAACCCTGAGATCATGACCTAGGCTGAAACCAAGAGTCTGACACTTAACCAACGGAGCCACCCAGGCGCCCAATGGGTCAAATTATTTAACCACGAAATCACCAAATAATGGGTCTCTCTTTCTCAACGCCTTGGCTCACACCTTCACCTCTGCATGTTTGGGGCATTGTTAGTCTGTGGGGCTTTTTGGCACCCCCTCCCTTACCTTGGCTCAGTGGTTCGCCATTGCTCAGGAGCTCCCAGTAGGTTCTTTCATTACTGTTGGCCTTTATGCCCTGAACAGTGGTGATGTAGGGGCCCCACAAGCTTTCCTCTGCAGTGAAACTGGGGGGAAAATAAATAGGTTATAGGAACTCATATATATATATATATATATATATATATATATGTATATATATATATATATAATTAGAATCTTTTTTAGGAACTTATTATTTTCAAAGACAACCTTATGTGGGCACTTCTCAAGCTTCAGTGTACCTAAGAATCATTTGAAGTCATTAAAAAAAAAAATAGATTTCCCAGCCCGATCCTCAGGTACTTTGATCCTATGGGTCTGAGCAGGGACTAGGAATCTGCATGATTCTGATGTAGGCACTCCACAATCTATTCTAAATTAGAGGAATGATGCCTATTTCTGCACCCACTTCCCTTGATAGGAAACACTCTGTAGTCAGTAACTACTAATCTTCTACCCCAAGATAGTACCTGTTGAAGATACTACAGCAGCAGAAGAAAATGTTAGCTTCGTGTCCTAGAGGCATCATAACTTAGTATGTTTTCTCTTAGGAAAGAACAACGGGAAAGAACAATTTAAAATTTACAATGTCAGGGAGGGGCAAGATGGCGGAAGAGCAGGGTCCCCAAATCACCTGTCCCCACCAAATAACCTAGATAACCTTCAAATTATCCTGAAAATCTATGAATTCGGCCTGAGATGTAAAGAGAGACCAGCTGGAATGCTACAGTGAGAAAAGTCCGCGCTTCTATCAAGGTAGGAAGACGGGGAAAGAGAAATAAAGGAACAAAAGGCCTCCGAGGGGGAGGGGCCCCGCGAGGAGCCGGGCTGAGGCCGGGGCGAGTGTCCCCAGGACAGGAGAGCCCCGTCCCCGTCCCGGAGGAGCAGGAGCTGCACCAACCTTCCCGGGTGGGCGGAAAGGGGCTCGCAGGGAGTTGGAGCAGGACCCAGGAGGGCGGGGATGCCCTCGGGCTCCCGGGGACACTAACAGACACCTGCGCCCGGGAGAGTGCCCCGAGCTCCCTAAGGGCTGCAGCGCGCACGGCGGGACCCGGAGCAGCTCGGAGGGGCTCGGGCGGCGGCTCCGCGGAGGGGGCTGCGGGGCGGGAGCGCGAATCCAACAGCGCAGGCCCCGGAGCACAGGGCGCCGGGACACAGCCCAGGATCCGGCCTCGCCCGGGACAGGCAGAGGCCGGGAGGGCCCAGGACAGCGAGGACGCTCCTGCCCCGAGCTGAGCAGATCAGCGGCCCCGCCCCGGAGCCTCCAGGACCTGCGGACGGAGAACCGAGAGCCCCGAGCCCCGTAGTTCCTGCGGAGGCTGAATCCAGGCTTCCAGAGTTGCCATAGCAACTGCGGCTGTTCCTCCTGGGGCCCCACGGGGTAAACAACCCCCGCTGAGCCCTGCAGCAGGCAGGGGCAGAGCAGCTCCCCCAAGTGCTGACACCTGAAAATCAGCACAGCAGGCCCCTCCCCCAGAAGACCAGCTGGACGGACCAGTGATACTCCCCCGTGTTCCAATACAACTTGTTTTTGGCCACTCTGCACTGAGCAAAATGACTAGAAGGAAAACCTCACCTCAAAAGAAAGAATCAGAAACAGCCCTCTCTCCCACAGAGTTACAAAATCTGGATTACACTTCAATGTCAGAAAGCCAATTCAGAAGCACCATTATACAGCTACTGGTGGCTCTAGAAAAAAGCATTAAGGCCTCACGAGACTTCATGACTGCAGAATTTAGATCCAATCAGGCAGAAATTAAAAATCAATTGAATGAGATGCAATCCAAACTAGAAGTCCTAACGACGAGGGTTAACGAGGTGGAAGAACGAGTGAGTGACATAGAAGACAAGTTAATGGCAAAGAGGGAAACTGAGGAAAAAAGAGACAATCAATTAAGGGACCATGAAGACAGATTAAGGCAAATAAATGACAGTCTAAGGAAGAAAAACCTACGTTTAATTGGGGTTCCCGAGGGCGCCGAAAGGGACAGAGGGCCAGAATATGTATTTGAACAAATCCTAGCTGAAAACTTTCCCAATCTGGGAAGGGAAACAGGCATTCAGATCCAGGAAATAGAGAGATCCCCCCCTAAAATCAATAAAAACCGTTCAACACCTCGACATCTAATAGTGAAGCTTGCAAATTCCAAAGATAAAGAGAAGATCCTTAAAGCAGCAAGAGACAAGAAGTCCCTGACTTTCATGGGGAGGAATATTAGGGTAACAGCAGACCTCTCCACAGAGACCTGGCAGGCCAGAAAGGGCTGGCAGGATATATTCAGGGTCCTAAATGAGAAGAACATGCAACCAAGAATACTTTATCCAGCAAGGCTCTCATTCAAAATGGAAGGAGAGATAAAGAGCTTCCAAGACAGGCAGGAACTGAAAGAATATGTGACCTCCAAACCAGCTCTGCAAGAAATTTTAAGGGGGACTCTTAAAACTCCCCTTTAAGAAGAAGTTCAAGTAACTCTGAACGTGAATGGGCTTAATGACCCCATCAAAAGGCGCAGAGTTTCAGACTGGATAAAAAAACAGGACCCATCTATTTGCTGTCTACAAGAGACTCATTTTAGACAGAAGGACACCTACAACCTGAAAATAAAAGGTTGGAGAACCATTTACCATTCAAATGGTTCTCAAAATATACCCTAAAAACTACAGAACACTTCTGAAAGAAATTGAGGAAGACACAAAGAGATGGAAAAATATTCCATGCTCATGGATTGGCAGAATTAATATTGTGAAAATGTCAATGTTACCCAGGGCAATTTACACGTATAATGCAATCCCTATCAAAATACCATGGACTTTCTTCAGAGACTTAGAACAAATTATTTTAAGATTTGTGTGGAATCAGAAAAGACCCCAAACAGCCAGGGGAATTTTAAAAAAGAAAACCATATCTGGGGGCATCACAATGCCAGATTTCAGGTTGTACTACAAAGCTGTGTTCATCAAGACAGTGTGGTACTGGCACAAAAACAGACACATAGATCAATGGAACAGAACAGAGAACCCAGAAGTGGACCCTGAACTTTATGCTCAACTAATATACGATAAAGGAGGAAAGACGATCCACTGGAAGAAAGACAGTCTCTTCAATAAATGGTGCTGGGAAAATTGGACATCCACATGCAGAAGAATGAAACTGGACCACTCTCTTGCACCATACACAAAGATAAACTCAAAATAGATGAAAGATCTAAATGTGAGACAAGATTCCATCAAAATCCCAGAGGAGAACTCAGGCAACACCCTTTTTGAACTTGGCCACAGTAACCGGAGAAGGACAAACAGTGTATGTTCTCATTCATTTGGGGAATATGAATAATAGTGAAAGGGAATATAAGGGAAGGGAGAAGAAATGTGTGAGAAATATCAGAAAGGGAGACAGAACATAAAGACTTCTAACTCTGGGAAATGAACTAGGGGTGGTGGAGGGGGAGGAGGGGGGGGGTGGGGGTGAATGGGTGACGGGCACTGAGGGGTACACTTGACGGGATGAGCACTGGGTGTTATTCTGTAAAATTTAAAATGTAAAAAAAATTAAAAATTAAAAAATTTAAAAATTTAAAAAATTTGAAATTTAAATTAAAAATTCAGAAATTTAAATTTCAAAAAAATTTAAAAATTTAAAAATTTAAATTAAAAAATTAAAAATTTTAAAAATTTAAAAATTTTACATTTTAAAATTTAAAATTTCATGTTGTCTTGATTAAAAAGTGACATGGCCAATGTCTGTTTCACATTCCTCGGTCACATTTCTCTGCCTTCCTGGAAGCCCTTGAAAGCAATCTTTATAATATCTACATCACATACTACATATACGATTTTCTCTGTGGTATCTTATGTTACTAGGCGAAGTAATGTCTGATTAGATTTAGGGAGTCAAATGAACCATACCTTTCAGAGGCAAAGTCAATACCTAAATTTTGACATTTGACCTCTTTGGGCCAGGCAACCTTAATCTAGGGTTCCATGAATCTAAAAGGGGAGGCATGGAGAGACTTCAGGGCATTTGTGAAACCTCTGACCGAAAGGACAAGTTTCGTGTGAGTGTTCACCTGTCTGGGCTCAGCATCCAAGGCACGGGCATCTGATTTTCAAAGAGGTTGATTCAAATGTTTCAAAACCAATGACCCCATGTTCTAAACACCAAATAACTGACCTAAGAGTTTCTATTTGTCGAAAGAATTTAACCAACGGAAGAGAGATCCCTGGGACTTATTCACCCATTAAGTGAACATTAATTTAATACCTACTGTGTGCTAGAAGATGAAAAGTCTCTCTCTCTCTTTTTTTTAATCCCTGCCATAAAGGAGTGTTTCAAATGCACTTTGCATTCAGGTGCTTCCGTATTCTTACCGAGTCTTTCAGAGTCGCCAAGCACCTTCAGCGTGGGTTACCTGCCGACATACCTAAATAGAGTTGCATTTTCTTTCTCAGCTTTCTCCATCACATCTAGGAAGACAGAGCCGTTTGCCACAGAGACCGTGATGCTGTGTGTTGTATTGATTACCACGGAGTAGTTGACTTGGATCTGTGGGCGTGACACAGCAGGTGGCCCTGAGGTAGGCTCCTGGGTGGTGAGGTTGAAGGCACCTGGCAGAGGCAGAGAGGCAGAGAAGAATTACTATTCAGAATAATAAAAACTGATGTTTGAGTTTACAGCCCACCCAACCCCTCCCCCGGCCCCCTTTCCTTTACGCAGAGGAGGAGGATTTGCTACAAGGAGCAAGAATCATCAACCAAGGGGCCGAGCTCTCGTGCGACTGAACCAGAAACGCACCAGCTCGTGAATGCACGCGTTTGGCTCCACGTCCAGCTGTTCAAGCAATGCAGTTGCCCTGTGTCCTGTTTCTCACAGAGGCTCCTGAGTTTGGGGGGTTTTGTTGTTGTTTTGTTTTTGCTTTGGTGCAGCATACGATCATGCCGTCCTTTTTTGGATGCCTTTCTATTTCTTAACATTTACTGAAAAGCTATTAAGTGCCAGGGGCTGCCCTAATGATTTTACATGGCTTATCTTACACCATCCTTACAAAAACCCACGTTGGATACTATTATCACTTGCATTTTTTTTGTATTGTTTATATGACGAAGCATTTTGTGTGAGGTCCCTAAGCCTATAAATAGGTGAACCAGAATGAACAGAGATGAAAGTCAAGTCTTCTTTCATCCTTTGTTGAAAAATCAGTTGTATGAATAAATGCCTCATGCTCTCATTTTCTTCTGCTGCTGCCATATTCCTCCCATCTTCCTCTGAGCTCCCTGAGGGCTCACTCACTGTGCTTAATGGAGAGTCAGAGACACCTCACTTTGTTCAGAACGGGAATGATGCTCCAACATCTCTCTAACCAGCCATCACAAGGCATCCCTTTGGAGACAGACATCACCAAATTAAGTCTGCCTTGGTTAGTAAGGTCTGACCCGAGAAGAACACCTACTCCCCTCTTCAGAACAAATCCTCGGGTGGTTACGATCGCTGCTGAGACATGGAGGACTGAGTTCTATCTGGGAACAGTTATGCTTTAGCGGTTTATCTGGTCACTTGTGGTCCCTAAGGACACCTTAGTCTCACGTGCTTCGGGGATCGTGCTCTTTAGGGCCCAACCTGATTTGTAGACGCAAGAAGAGTCTTTGTTAACATCCAAGTAGGTCTTTCCCAACAGGGCAGGTAAGATCTGAGCTGCAGCAGTTGGCATACGGAATACTCCTTCAGGGATTTCCTCAAGCACTTTATTCCGTGTTTTTTGACAGTCCCATTGACTTTTCTTGTAATAGTGTGATGAGACAAAGAGAGCCTAATGTGAGAGAGAGAGAATGGGAGGGCATGAGAGAAACACCAAACAAGGGGAGAGCCTACATCTAACTAGTTCGGTCAGTATTTACTGGCCGTTGACCACGGGGCAGCACCTTGGATATAGCTAGGATACCTTTCCTGCCACCAAGAAATTTATAAACTAGTTTTTGGGGAGGGGATGGGGAGTTGCTCAACAACACAACTGATAATGGCAAAAGGAGAACAGACTTTCTCTACCATATTCACTCTTGTAGCCTTGACACTGGAACAACACCTGTCGCATAGGAGACGCTTGATAAATGCTTTTTACAGACAATCCTAAAGGAGCCCCTAAGGTGGATGGCTTAAAAGAAGCATCTAGGGCCATAAGACGAGCACATAACACTTCGTGACATTGAAGAAGGCTCAATGGAGAAGGCGGCATGTGAGGTAGGACAGCCTTTCAGTAGGGGACAGGAGAGCAGTGCTGTGTGTACCCAGAGGAACGGCAGGGTCAAGGGTGCTACAGCAGGTGAGGCCAGGGCATGGCCTGCCCGTGATGATGACATTCTCTCTGTTTCAGCAAAATCCCCAGGGGGTTCCTTCCGGCCTGGGAAGACTGGTGTACAGGGAGCCTCGGGGCGACTGTGGAAGAACAGGCTGGAGGACGAGGTTGGGGCTGCACTGGTGCACCCTACAGCTGCAGGGTGAAGTGTGTGACGTTATTTGCTTAACAATGGGGAGTCCAATGGGCTCTTGAATAGAAACTGTCCAAGCAGCGGTTATAAACTGGATTGAGGGGGGCAGCATGATGGGGCAGGAAAAGTTAGGAGGGTGTCAGAGTGAGTAACACAAGGCCTAAAATGGGCTGGACCCATAGACATCGCTCTGTAGTTTCTCAGGGAAGGACAATTCCCCTTTTCATTTTCTCCTGAAGACCCTTTAGGTTAACCAAGAAGTCAACAAGCATTTGTGGGATATTTAAAGAAAAGGATCCTATTTCATTTCCTCTTAACTATTTCGTAGGGCAGCCTGGGGTGGCTCAGTGGTTGAGCAGCTGCCTTTGGCTCAGGGCCTGATCCCGGATTAAAAAGCCTGCTTCTCCTCCCTCTGCCTGTGTCTCTGCCTCTCTGTGTGTGTCTCTCATGAATAAATAAATAAAATCTTAAAAACTGTTTTGTAGGCAAGCAGCTCTCAAGCTGGCTGTGAATTAACCTCTCTCGTAGGGTCTTAAAACCAGAGCAAGGCTCATGCTCTACCTCTAAGTTTCCATGTTGGCTGGCTGGTGCGGTGCTGGAACATTAGTGTTTTCCAAAACCTTCTCCAGCGGATTCAAATGTACAGTCAGAACGGGCAAGCCCTGTTTTGTGAAGTTCAAACTCAGCAAGGCAGACAGCAGCCTCAACAGCACCAACGGTGAAAACCACCTTTGTGATTGGACCCCTGTGACACCCCAGCTCCTTCTTGTAATTTTTCCCAGGGACCCCAGGGACCCCGCATTGAACACCTTGATCTCCCTAAAATACATGATGTTCTTTTGTGCCTCTGGCCTTTTTCCTGCTGTCCTCTCTCCCTTGGGAAGCCCTCTCCTCCTGGGGTGACCTGACCTCTGGGCCCCTACTTCTACTAACGACTCAGCGAAATATTTTTTCTGTAAATCTCCCTTCCCCTCTTGGACCTATCCCTTAGAGTTGAGCAAACGGGTGAGTGAACGCAGGAATAAAGCCCCACACTTCAAGGGGCATACGCAGGACAGAGGAGGTGCTGAGTATGAGTACTGAAACCAGCCGCTTAGGTCTGAATCACTTTTTGGCTTCGTAACGTCAGGCAAGTTACCGGCACTCCATGACTCATGCTCTTTTCTGGGAAATGGAGGCAGTAATTTTTTCCTCATTGGGTTGTGTGCATCAATGGGCACGGCAATAAATACTAGATGCTACTGCTGGCACTGCCTGTCGTCACTGGGACAACAATAATCTAATTTAGGAAGTAGGAGGCAAGCACCCAACACTGGTGGACAGCAAAGTGTTAAATTGCATTTGATGAAACAATATAGTAGGTTGTAGCAGACTCTAGAATTTCTTTAAAAAGCTGTAGTCTAGAAGAGCTTCACGGAAGCACTGGACATGGAAAGATAAGGATCAGGGGTGAGGAGAATACATTTCCATCAGGGGAGAGGAATCACATGAAATCAGTTAGTATAGGAAGCAGAATGAGGAATGTCTTAGGGGGACAAGAAGAGAGGATTCAGTATTTCTTTCCTTCGTGACTCCCCTCTCTGTCTCCGACTTACCTGCATAGCTTCTCCTGTACTATATATGTTTCCAATGAGGCCATCTTCCTTTTTCTGAGCCAGAATCTTCCTTATCAGTGACTCTATATGACCACCAATGATCTTTAAATCCCGTTTATAGATTACGTTCTGACTATTTGTTTTATCCCTCTTCACACAGGTCAGAGCCAGGACAGCCATCGCACCAGTATCTGCCAGGAAATAAAACATCAGTGATAGGGTGAGTGACCAACCATTCCGGTTTGCCTTGGACCGAGGGATCTCCTGGTGTGTAGGATTATCATTGCTGAAAAAGAGGCAGATCTGGGCAAACTGAGAAGACTGGCCATGCTAGTTGATAATGGGAGAAAAGGACTTGAAGTAGAGCAGTTGTTCTTCTGGCATTAACCACTCAAATATTTCAAGATCCCTTCCTTATGTTGCGTAACCCTGGGCCTCGTACTCAATAACTCACCTGCTGGTCATAGAGACACATATGGATTTGCAGGTGCATACACGTGAATAGTCTTTCCCTTCAACATCTTGGCTTCCCATTGTTTTCATCTCTCAGCCATATTGGCAAAAGAGTCGAGAGAACTCATGATAAATCAAAATATGTCTTTGCAATGTTCCAATGTTTCCAATAAAGCTTCTTAAGGGGGAGGATGAGGCAAGAGATTGGAAGAAGGGAGGATAAGGCCTTTTTTCTGGTTTGTTACTTAGTTCCCCTCACATTCTTTAGCTGTGGTACCTTCACTCTCCCATAGAAAGAAATCCCATATTCTCCCTATTATCCAGGGACGTCGAGTGGCCATTTTCTTTGGGCTTCTTGGAGAAAGATGAGCTTGTGTATCTGGGTCCAGAGGGGCTGAGCAACAGAACTAGCTCTCTAGAAGGAGCCTGTTTTTGGACGTGTGAGCTGACCCAGGAGAAAATTTCCAGTCCTTCTCTATTGGGGATACAGACTTTATTGATCAAAATATTGGGCCTTGTCCCTGGAGAGGTTGTGTTGTCCAAGTAAGCCCACACATATAAATGGTCCCAGTAAATTAGAGAAAGAGGCAAAGTTAAGATTAATGAATTCCACTGTTTTCCTTTTTCTAATACTTACACTTGCTAAAATGTCTTATACGAAGATTCTCACCATCTATCCTTATTTTACAGATGGGAAAATTAAGGCCAAGAGTTAACATCCATGGGGTACCTGGGGGGCTCAGGCAGTTAAATGTTTGATGGTCGGCTCAGGTCATGATCTCAGGGTCCTGGGATCGAGCCCCATGTCTGGCTCTGTCATCAGTGGGGAGTCTGCTTCTCCCTTTCTCTTTGCCCCTCCCCCAACTCATGCACACACACTCTCTCTTTCTCAAAAATAAATAAATAAAAAATATATTTTTTAAAAAAGTTAACATCTCTTGGTTATATAATTCAAAGAAGAGGTAGCTTAGGAACTGGATCTTTCTACTGTATTACACATCTACAAAGATGTTTAAAGCCTCCTCTGCCCACCCCCACATCCATTCCTTTCAAGAAGAGAATTCCCCTCCCTGATCACTAGCGTAAAGAGGGTAAAAAAGTGTCCAAGTATTTACTGGTAGAAAAACTTGAAGGAAAAGACTTACCGGTGACCATGTCCTCTCCACTGAGGGAATTGGGTGTAATGACTCACCTACTGAGAACTGTCTATGAAAATAGTAGTTTTTATTTTCAGGATTGAATTTTCTAGCAACTATAGAGATTGAGTAATTCCCACTGAACAGACACAAGGCCAAAACGTCCAGGCTGAGCTGGTAGTAGTTAGTCAGCGGATTATCATCATGTTCTTCTGTCAGGGAGGAAAGACATACCTTACTCATGGAAACAATACTTGAATAATAAAATTTCAGTCTATTCCTACTTGCTTTATTAGAATTTTTTTCTTTTTTTATAATAAATTTATTTTTTATTGGTGTTCAATTTACCAACATACAGAATAACATCCAGTGCTCATCCCGTCAAGTGCCCCCCTCAGTTCCCGTCACCCATTCACCCTCACCCCCCACCCTCCTCCCCTTCCACCACCCCTAGTTCGTTTCCCAGAATTAGGAGTCTTTATGTTCTGTATTAGAATTTCTTTACACTCAAGGAGAGGTGAGTGAGAGAGGGAGGAAGGTCATTTGTAGAATCAGCAAACCTGAGAAATGTAAAGGCTGTTAAGGATCTTCAAATTCAACTTAACTCTTTTTACTTTATAACTGAGGAAACTCGGCTCTAAAGAGATTAAAATAGTGTCCTGAGACTCAGGTGGTTACAGAGCTAGGACTAGAACCCAGATTTCCTGCCGCTAAGCATCTTGCACTTTTGAGGGTAACGTGTCCAACCTAGAAGTAGAAGCAGAAGAAGTAGAGGCCATCTCAAAAGGAGATGAGCTCGAAGAGGCTTAATGACCAATAGGGTAAATACTGGGTGGGCGTTCAGATTAAAAAAACGCACGTCGCGAGCAGCCACCACAGTCAGCGTGTTTTTCCCGGCGGGGAAGTGCTCCTGGCCTCGGTAGCTCTTCTGTGAGTGTGGATCGAGTGCTTTCATGCTGACGACATAGCGTCTGTGTTCTCAGCTATTTCTGGTGCATTTCGCTATTTGTCTAAAAGCCACGCTTCTGCAGAAGAGACAACGGTCTCCTATAAGCTTGTGTGTGTGCGTGTGCATCGTCATAAGCAAGGTGGATGTAGAGTCGGTGCTCGTTTGAATGTGTTTGAAAACTCAAGGTGCATGTTGAAAGAGGGAAGAAGGGCAAGTGATCCGCAAAGATGCGTGGGGTGCATAGAAGGAAGAGGAGAAGGAAAGGCCGGGGGGAAACTTTGTTCAGTTCTGCACCAGTGGAGGAAAAACTAGGTCATCCAGGGTCTCTGAACATTTGATTCTCACCCATATTTTTAATTTCTTCTTGGAATTTATTTTCTAGTTGTTTGACCAGGACTGGGTAATTTTGAAACATTTCATCAGGACTTTTACATGCTCCCAAAGCCAGGATAGACAAGGCAAGCTGTCCCGAGGTTAAAGAGGACTCTGAAAAAAAAAAATGTTCAAGTTTAACGAGGTACCTGCTTGTGATTTTTTTTGGCCTCCTGTCTGTCTTGTGACTGACATTACCTGTCAGTTCTTTCTTTTTTTCTACTCTCTACCAATATTTTATTGTTCTCTTCCTTATTCCCAAAGCAGAGACTTCTAGCAGTGCAGTATAAATGCAAGCTAGTTCACAGTCTTCCCCATGAAATCATAGGAGGTTTTTGGAATCATGGGATCCTTATGAAAATTTTAAAAGAAAAGAAGTAGATAATAATGCCTTGGGATTTACTCTCTTGTAGGTGCTGTCTTGCCAAGATAGTAATACTTGGATGTTCTTCCTTACAGGGTATCAAAATTCTCAGACCTCTTATAACTCTGACAATAATCCTGTGAGGTAGGTAGGGGGGCTTCATCTCCCCCTTATCTCAGTGAGGAAGCTAAGGCTCAGGATTGGCACGAAGGACTCAGGGTGGAGCCGCCCTCAACCCCCGGCTCAGTTGGTTAAGTGTCCGACTCTTGATTTTGGCTCCGGTCATGATCCCAGGGTGGTGGGGCGGAGCCATGGGGGTCTCTGCCCCGAGCGCAGGGGGCTCTGTCTCCGTCTCCCTCCTCCCTAAGCACAAACAAGAACAGAGACAACCCAGTCCTCCTCGTCTTTCCGTGCTTCCCTTGCTACCGCCAGCTTCCTGACGAGCCCTACCCTGTCTAGCTCGCGTAACGCCATCCGTGGGTAAGAGTCTATGGTTTCTTTTGCTTTTCCTTGTGACCTTTTGAAGGAAAATGCTTTTCAGGACCCAAAGAAGTAGGGCCCAGCTACGGAGTACTGGGCAGGGGATTGGTGCTTGGGGCACCGCTGTCCCCTCAGGTCCTACAGCTAGGGTAGGTGCAGCAGGGCTTCTGCGGTCCTGCCTAAGACAGCTGGCGGGAGGTCATAGGTCAGTCTTGCCCCACACCTTCGAGGGAACGTAGGCGCTCACCGTTATTTTGCACGGTGTGAATGATTGGTCTCATCAGCTGTTGCTCTTGGTTTTGGTTCAGGATCCCACCAAGTCTGAGGGACAGTAGGACATTGATGGCCTGGATTCCTGTGCTATATTTTGAATTGATCATCGTGTTTATCAGAGGATTTAGAGCGGTGTAGTTCTCTCTGCTTATCTCTGCGGCAGGAGAGGAGGAAATAAGAAATGCACACTGAGAACACATTAAGGAACAGGAACGCTAGGAACAGAGGTGGCGTTAATACATTTAGTAACAGATACGGTGCCAACGGAGCGATCCAGCAGCCATGGGCTATGATGCTGGAACAATCCACAGGTGGGTCTGGATCTCTGCTATGTCACAGTTATTACTCCTTCCCTAACTAGCGTGGAAGCGTCTCCATGTTCTAACAGCTGTTCCAGCCTGACCTTTGTGTACGGGCAGAGTACCAGTCCTCCCGGGAGATTTAGCATCCTTCCCTGACTTGGAGGGTGAGGCCTGGTGGGTGTCCTTAAGACCTCCGTAACTGAAGGCTTAATGGAGACTAGGCTACATGTCTTCTGACTCCCAGTCTGTAGTCCTTTCTACTTGCCAGATTCAGTTCTTTCCCTTCTCCATCTTCTGACTCCATCAGGTTAATATTGACAGAAAGAAGGCAGCAGCTCTAAGTTACAGTGGTGACTGACCCCAGAGCTGAATTGTCTGCTTGCCCAATCGGCCTGGCATCATGATCGTTATTTAGCAGCATGCGCCTTTCAGAAAACCCTCTAGTCGTAGCCCACATCTCAAGGGAAAGGATGAGGGGAGTCACATTCTACTGTGGAAGTGAAAAGAGGGTCCAGAGACCCCAAGAACTGGAGGAAAATAAGGAGAGTTCGTTACCACTTAAAACATTCTTAAATACACTTTGTTCAGGAGCACCTGGTTGGTTCAGTTGGTTAAGTGGTTGACTCTTGATTTCAGCTCAGGTTATGACTTCAGGGTTGTGGGATCAAACCCAACGTTGGGCTCTACAGTCAGTGTGGAGTCTGCCCCTTCCCCTGCTTATGGTCACACACACTCTCTCTCTCTCAAATAAATAAATAAATAATTTAAAAAATGTACTTTGTTCACACTTCCAAGAAAAATCCTACCCATCTCCAGATTATCTCTTGGGTTAGTGGGATACTGAGAAGAGCATAAGCCCTATGTCAGCTGGACCTTGGTGGGATTCTTCATACTTAGGACTGTGAGTGACTTATGTCATTTTTCTGACCTTCCCTTATTTTAAAATTGTGTGTATTAACATCTATTATATAGTATATATGTATATTGTATATACATATATACTATACATAAATAAAATTATATGTATATTAGACAAGAAATCACTTAATATACTGTAAAATAAACACATATTATCAGTTTTAGCTCAACTGGAGTCTCTATCACTCTACTTAGAGAATCAAGGAAGTGTGTGTTCTCTCCACACAGCATGGGGTTCAGAATCATGACTCTGAGATCAGGAGTCACATGCTCTACCAGCCAGGCACCAGTCTACCTTTCTTCTCTTTAAAAGAGAATCAGAGATATCTGAACCAGTGGTGGTAGAAAGTCCTGGTAGAAAGTACCAGAACAATCGGACAATTGTTGGGTCATGTCAGAGATTTTGTGGAAGCATCCAGTTCAGCAGATTTTCTGGCACTGAAATAGACTTTTCGGTTCCTGGGCTGCAACTCGTCAGTTTCCTTGACCACTAAAGACAAAAGTTAATTATTTTGCATAATGAATTCAAGTTTGAAACCTCCACAGAGACCCCCTGTTCTTAAGATACAACAGAGGAAATGACAGACCAGGAAGGAAAATTAGAGTCAGAAGAGTTTGTGCTTTAGCTTGTGTGAACACAGGTCTTTCTGCTGGGCCGTTCACCTCTTCTTGTAGGCTACAGAGCACCAGGAAGATGGCCACAGATGGCAGCATGTAGTCATCCTTGGACTGGGTTTAAGCTCAGTTCCAGGGTGAAGACATACAAAAGAGGAATCATGCACCTGAGAGCTATACCAGACTTCATGACATCACGTGCTTCAACACCTTTCCCCAATTATGCTCAATGTATGGATGAAGCCAAAAAAATTCATAAACATTGAATCATTCAGCTAGTAAGGAGTCATGCTACACCTGAACCAGTTTTTCTTTCTCTTAATTTTTAATAGAATCACAGAATCTTGGGATCCTATGCCCAGAGGAGAGATGATGGGCTTGTACCCATGTCCTGTGGGGAAAACTTGGAAGGAAGGAGATGTATAGCTTGGAACATCTAAACCCAATAATGACAGGAAAGAAGGCTTCATTATTTGGAAGGAAAGATTGCATCCCAAATTCAAAAAATAACTTTCTATGATTTTGAAGAATTTCTGGGATCATGAATATTCTATCATTGAAAATGAAGAATAATAGACAGTTGCTTGGTAGGGTTGCTACGGTGGAGAAAAATCTGAATATAGAAAGAACCATTAGGCAAGTTAGCATTGAATCTATGACCCCTCTTCACATACTTTTTGGGGCTCTCCTCACCATGCCCTACCACATTTTACATGACTCATGGAGTCCAACCACATATATAACTGGAATAGGATCTTTTCTCAGGCCCCTCTACACAAATCCCCTGCCAATAAACTTTAGAAGACTATCACACTAGGAGCAATTTTAGCTCAATGCATACTTACCACAGATCTCGCATTGTTGCCTTGGAATAAGAGAAAACAATAGGAGCCCCACTAGGGGCAGCTGGTGGGATGGTATCATCTCTCCAAGAGTGTTCTGGAGTGGTGAGGGAATTTGAGTGTTCTGGCTATTTATTGGGTGATGACGGCAGGTAATGAGAGCTCCTCCTTTAGCTTGCTTCACCTTCTTTCACTTAAACAAATATTGAGCAACGTCAGGGGGTGTGGTCAAATGTATTTATCCAAGAATTGTGATAAACCAGGAAGAAGACTTGAAAGATATGGTCAAGTAGGTTGAGGAAATAATTTTCTTTGTTTCGTATCCCAAACTTTAGGATTCACATTCATTACTTGTCTTCAGCACAATGAGAATAAATTATATTTCCCTCTTTTCTATTCCACTTTGGCTGTATTTTTATTTATGCCTCTTGAAACATTAGATTTGATGGGGCAAAGGCTTAAAACATATAAACATGGAAGTAGAAGTTGTGAGACTGAAATTGAACCAGGCAAGATGAGGGAGACTGGCACCTGAGGATCTTGGGCATAGTGGTTTTTTGATGTATGATTTTTTTCTAAGATAGGTGCCCTGAGAGTTTCATTACCCAGGAGGAAAGCCACAGAGATGTACACTGAATGCAGGTTTTTGCTGCACCAGGAAAGATGTCACAAGCTCTATGTGAGAAGTGTTGTAGAGAATACTATCAGTTTGGCCTTGAAATGTTCACTATGGGTTGGCAAGATGGTAGAGTAGGAGCTCCCCTGCTCATATCCCCTCCCCCCAGCACCAATCATCTTAGCAGCCATCCACTGACAACAGTTTCTATGTAGGAGCTTTGCGTTCCAGGTAGGAGGTTGCGAAACCTCAGCCGAGAGCTGTATGGAAAAGGCACACCAAAGAAAAAGACTTGTATTCACAAAAGCTAAAGCACAGAATTTGCCAACTCTACGCTTTCTTCCTTGCCTTTTTCCCTGTTGCACCCTAAAGAGCCAGGCTTCCTGACCATGGTCCTGGATACAGACCAGAACACAGCTTCATCTCCTTGTGGACTTGGCTATATTCCTGTTTGGCACTGGTCCTAAGAATAGCACCATCAGCCAAGGGACCCAGAAGGAATCATGCACACCTGAGCCTTGGATGATAGGCCTGCTGATCTTGGTTAGAGCTAAGGACTATGAAGCAAATGTGGCCTGGCTCCAACGTCAGCCATGGTCTGGAAGCAGTCTTGCCCATCCAGGGACCTAGCAGGAGACAGACACACCCATCAGTGTCTAGGAGGCGGGCCGGCTGAGCTTGGTCCAACTATGGATCCTGAAGTGACCCTGTGACCTGCCTCTGTCCCCTCTCAGCGATGGTTCAGGGACAGTCCTGCTCATGCAAAGACCTATCCAGTGACCCAGCAGGAGCCAGGACCATCATGCACCTGACAATAGGCTTGCGGTTTACAGAGCCAGCTGAGGATCCAGCAGCAGCCAGGTGCCCCAGTTCCAACCTTGAGTGACTGTGATCCCAGAGGCAATTCCAGCAGCCCAGGAGTCTGACAGGAGAAGGTCTTCACCTGCTGAAAACAGGCTGTAAGGATGGAGAGGTGTTTGCTCCTTCAAACACATAGACACAAGGGTAAGTCCAGGCAGAGCACAAAGCAGACAAACATGACGCCACTAAAGAAAACTAATAAATAGACCTAACAGACATATAGGAAACAACAAGGCAAAGAAACTCCTTGACATTGGTCTTGGCAATGTTTTTGTTGTTTGTTGTTGTTGTTGTTGTTGTTGTTTTGATTTGACACGAAAGCACAAACAACAAAAGCAAAAATTAGCAAGTGGGACTACTTCAAACTGGAAAGCTTTTGCAGAACAAAGAAACAATAAACAGAATAAAGAGGAGACCTATAGAACAGAAAAAAATATTAGGTCCCATGTATCTAATAAGGTTTTCATATCAAAAATATATAAGGAACTCCTACAACTCAATAGCAATCCCCTCCATAATCCCATTGGAAAATGGGCAAAGGACCTGAATAGACATTTTTCCATAGAAGACACACCAAAGGCCAATGGGTACATGAAAAGGTGCTCAGCACCACTAATCATCAGGCAAATGCGTATCAAAACTGCAGTGAGATATCACCTCTCACCTGTTGGAATGGCTGGTATTAAAGCGATAATAAGTGTTGGCTTGGGTGTGAAGAAACCCTTGTGCAATGTTAGTGGGAATGTAAATTGATATAGTTATTATGGAAAACAGTATGGAGGTTCCTCAAAAATTAAAACTGGAACTACCATATGATCCAGTAATCCTGCACATATATCCAAAGGGAGAGTTACGCTCTTACGTTCTTTGCAGCATTATTCACGAGAGCCAAGATATGGAATCAGTCTAAGTGTCCGATGAGGAACGGATAAAGAAAATGTGGTATGTATATTCAGTGCAATATTAGTCGCCCATGAGAAAGAGAGAAATCCTGTTATTTGCAACAACATGGATGGAGCCCGAGGATATTATGCTAAATGAAATAAATCAGACAAAGAAAGAGCGTATGATATCACATATATGGCATCTTGAAAAAGTCAAACTCATAGAAGGAGATGGTAGGATGGTGGAGGAATTGGGGCTACGGGCTGGGGGATCTGGGGAGATGTTGGTCAAAGGGTATGAGCTCTCAGCTGTAGGGTGAACAAATTCTGGGGATCTAATGTACAGCATCATAGTCATGTTTTATTTATGTCTCCTGAGAGATTAGGCTTGATGGGGCAGAGGCTTAAAATACATAAAAATGGAAGTAGGAGTTGTTAGCCTGAAATTGGAGCACTCCACTAAAACTGATCTTCTCAGGATCACAAGTCGTGTCCACACTGCTGCTTTCAATGAAGATTTAAAGTTCTCATTTATCTCATCTGAGACTGATTACTCTTTTCTCCATACTTACTTTTCTTGGCTAGAACTCTATCCTTTATGGAGTGTTTTCTCTTTCTACTGATCCTTTTCTGATCCTTATGATCAGTCCTGACTGCCCGTTTTTGGTGTTCTCTTGCTGGTTCCTCCTAAGGCACTTATATTTTCTAAAAGTTGTAATATTCTAAGGTTCAATGCCTAAAACCCTTCTTCCTCCTTTAGTAATCTCATCAAATCTCAAAGCTTTAAATGAAACCTACATGCTAATGCTTTTAAAATTAAATCGCCATACAGGGCATATCTTTAATTTTCGACTTGATCTTGGCCTTGCTCATGTGATTTACTTGGGTCAATAGGAAGTTAGCAAATATGATGTAAGAGGAAGTTTGAAAATTGCTTTTGCATCAAATTCTGTGGTTTGGATCCTGAGGCCCTCGTGCATGTGTCTGCACAGGAGCTGGCCTGCTGGAAATTCCACACAGAGAACTCCCGCATTCCAGTTGTCAGCCTGCCACTGCCTGAGGCTGTGTGAGGAGATTTTAGATTGTCTAGCATTGGTTGAACCACCAGATGAATAAAATAACACGAATAACCCTGGCCAAGATTAATAGAGTACCTAGCTAGACCTAGCCCAAATTGCTGACCCATCGATTTGTTAGAAGAAAGAAAAAGAAAAAGAAAGAAAGAAGAAAGAAAGAAAGAAAGAAAGAAGAAAGAAAGAAGAAAGAAAGAAAGAAAGAAGAAAGAAAGAAAGAAAGAAAGAAAGAAAGAAAGAAAGAAAGAAAGAAAGAAAGAAAGAAAGAAAGAAAGAAAGAAAGAAAGAAGAAAGAAAGAAAGAAAGAAAGAAAGAAAGAAAGAAAGAAAGAAAGAAAGAAAGAAAGAAAGAAAAGCCTGCATTAAGCCACCAGGTTTCAGAGGGGGGAGTTTTGCAGCAGTAGATAACTGACATGTGATATTTAGAATTTTTTTTTCCAGTTATATAGTTTAAGCAATACTTTAGCAAGCTAATCCCCTATTTCATTCCTAGGTACTCCATGATTCATTAGTTGGAGATCTCCACAGGTTAAAGTATTCCTATTGTTATTCTGGTTGTGTTGCCTATTAGGGCAATTGCTCCAACCTTGTCTTGGATGATCAAGTGCTGTCATCTAATCTGGCTAATTTAGGATGACATTTTACCAGTTGAGATCTTTGGCCAGATCTCTCACTATTATTCCCAATCATTTCCTCTTGTTAATTCATTCCTTAATGCCATCATGAAGAGAATATTCTCTGGACTCTCCCCTGGGGAGGAAAGAGTCAAGGTGGATGGGTTGCCCTTCATAAAATCCTCTTCAGTATTTCCAGGTCCTTAAGCCTCTGATGGTGTATTTTGAGCATCACATTCTTACTCATGTGGGTCATGACTGAGTCCAGCTTCTATACTATCAACCAAGAAAAATGGTGGAGCCACTTGCTGTTGCTCAAGGTCACACATTTCATAGTCTCTGGGAATCGCATCTATATTGATAAGTTTGGCATCATCCAACATTAAACTGTGTCTTCTTTGGTCTAATACACCAAGAATCCAAATTCAGACATGCTTCTTAGGTTTCTGCAAATGTTAATTAGGGAGATCTCGTAATTAGTTTTGTGTTCTTTTTTTTGATTTTTTAATTTTTTTTATTTTTTTAATAAATTAATTTTTATTGGTGTTCAATTTACCAACATACAGAATAACACCCAGTGCTCATCCCGTCAAGTGTCCCCTCAGTGCCCGTCACCCATTCACCCCCACCCCCGCCCTCCTCCCCTTCCACCACCCCTAGTTCGTTTCCCAGAGTTAGGAGTCTTCATGTTCTGTCTCCCTTTCTGATATTTCCCACACATTTTTTTTTTGATTTTTTAATTTTTAATTTTTTTGATTTTTTAAATATTTATTTATTTATTTTAGTTTTGTGTTTAAACTATCTTCTCTTGGGTCTAAGTTTGCCGCTGTCTTCTTGGGTAACACTGGGATCCGACAACAGTGATGGTTCCCGAGACAACGAGTGATCATGCGCACAGGCTTTAAGGGGAACAGGCATATCCTTGCAAGAAAACTGCATCAAATGAGATCATCATAGGGTCTCCAAGCAAAGGAAAGCTAATCTTTTCAGTCAGGATAGGAAAAGCAAAAGGAAGTTTCAAAGCGATTGGGTGAT